CTCACAGAGTGCTGTTTCTGTTTTCCCTATGTAATTAAGTCCGCACGGGCATGTCAATTTATATATAACAAACTCTGTTCTACAATGAATACGTTGTTTGATTCTATAAATCTTTCCCGTAAAGGGGTGTGTGAAGGTTTTAGAAGGGATGAGGTGGCCACATGTTACACATCCCAAACACCTCACACATCCCACATTGGTGTTTTCTTTCTTCATCGGTCTGTAGCAATGAACTGGGTCCGTCTTCACTAAGAGGTCCCTTAAATTTTTGTTCCGACGATAACACATCATGGGTTTCTGACGGAAAATGACAGGGAGAGAAGGATCCTTTTCTAATATGTGCCAATTCTTCCGTATTGTAGTAGCTAGTTCAAGACTAGCTGTATTGAATTGCATAGGGAATAGGCACCTATTGTCCATCTGTTTCTGGGTTACCGAGGGTAAGGTATTAAAATTGGATTTCGCACGATCCAATGCCTTATCTAATACCTGACGTGGGTATCCTCTCAAGAGAAATTTTTCGTGCATCGATTGTATTTGTTGCTCACATAAATGTTCAAGAGAGTTATTTCGTAAGACTCGTAGGAATTGTGAATAAGGGAGCGACTGTTTGAGATGTTTCGGATGGAAACTCCCATAGTGTAACAGGGTATTACGGTCTGTGGTTTTAGTGAACAATGTGTATTCTAACTTTCGATTAATGATCATCAGTTCAATGTCCAAAAATTGGATACGTTGCTCATCTATCGTTGAGGTTAATCTAACCTGTGTCGGTAACCTGTTAAGATTATCCACGAACTGTATCGCCTCCTCTTTTGTACCATTCCACAAGATTAAAATATCATCTATGAATCTGAAATAACGACAGATCTGGTGTGTATAGCATTGGAGAATATGCTGGGTCTCGTACTCAAACATGAAAGCATTTGCATACATAGGAGCCATAGCTGCCCCCATTGAGGTTCCAGCTATTTGTAAATACCAGCTATCTTCGAAGCGAAAGTAGTTATTTTGCAATGTAATGCCCAAAAGTTCCAAAACAAATTCAATCGAAGGGCCATGATATTGTGACGAATGAATGAGAAGATTCCGCATAGCTTGTATACCTGAATCATGGGGAATTATAGTGTACAAACTTCCCACGTCTAAGGTCATAAGGATACCGTCGAAAGGACCCACTTGTTGAAGACGTTGTAAGAGATCAGGAGTATCTTTGATACATGTTGATAGAGAGGTGACTGGATCCTTGAACAAAAAATCAAGGTATTTAGCTATCGGTTCAAGAATTCCTCGAGTGGCGGATACTATGGGACAGGATCACACATTCCACGGCAGTGACAAGAAGCAGAGCAAAAGACGCAGGAGGCCACACATCAGACGTGGACAGAAAGGAAGACAACATGGGTCCCAAAGGCAAACCCCCGATTCGCAAATAATCCCAGTATTTAACCTCTCCACACGAGTATTAACACCTTCTGAGACACTAGTGCTAAGTAAGGGCCTCTCGTTTATTCCAACTTCGTCTCCCAATAAATTTAATTGGGAAGTAGATTTGTTCAAATTTGGTCGCTCCTTGAGACTTAAAGAATTTTTTAAAAATTCTCCCTCCTCTTCTTCTAATTCCACTATGATGACAACTTCATATCACTTCAAATCTCTCAGCACGTTTGACCCTCCGTCCAATCAGGTAGCCATCAAATCTTTCCTCTCAACAACTAAATGGGAATCAGACTCCATGTTAAGTCATCACCATTTGAAACATTCTAATCTATCAAACATTGAACATTCCTTGATTAAGAATTTAGCTATGGATCCTACAATTGTAATTCGTCCGGCGGATAAGGGGGGAGGGATTGTGATTCTAGATTATAAAACATATGCTGCTGAAATCAGGCAACAATTGAGTGATACCAAGACCTATCAGTTACTAGTTGGTGATCCCACTAGTGCTATAGCCAAAAATATTGAGGAAGTACTGACATTTGGCTTAAATGCAGGTCACTTAACATTGGAATTATTCCAATATTTGCAAATCAAATACCCTCGTACCCCTGTTTTATACACACTCCCGAAGATACACAAGAACTTGGAACATCCACCGGGACGTCCCATAGTATCCGCCACTCGAGGAATTCTTGAACCAATAGCTAAATACCTTGATTTTTTGTTCAAGGATCCAGTCACCTCTCTATCAACATGTATCAAAGATACTCCTGATCTCTTACAACGTCTTCAACAAGTGGGTCCTTTCGACGGTATCCTTATGACCTTAGACGTGGGAAGTTTGTACACTATAATTCCCCATGATTCAGGTATACAAGCTATGCGGAATCTTCTCATTCATTCGTCACAATATCATGGCCCTTCGATTGAATTTGTTTTGGAACTTTTGGGCATTACATTGCAAAATAACTACTTTCGCTTCGAAGATAGCTGGTATTTACAAATAGCTGGAACCTCAATGGGGGCAGCTATGGCTCCTATGTATGCAAATGCTTTCATGTTTGAGTACGAGACCCAGCATATTCTCCAATGCTATACACACCAGATCTGTCGTTATTTCAGATTCATAGATGATATTTTAATCTTGTGGAATGGTACAAAAGAGGAGGCGATACAGTTCGTGGATAATCTTAACAGGTTACCGACACAGGTTAGATTAACCTCAACGATAGATGAGCAACGTATCCAATTTTTGGACATTGAACTGATGATCATTAATCGAAAGTTAGAATACACATTGTTCACTAAAACCACAGACCGTAATACCCTGTTACACTATGGGAGTTTCCATCCGAAACATCTCAAACAGTCGCTCCCTTATTCACAATTCCTACGAGTCTTACGAAATAACTCTCTTGAACATTTATGTGAGCAACAAATACAATCGATGCACGAAAAATTTCTCTTGAGAGGATACCCACGTCAGGTATTAGATAAGGCATTGGATCGTGCGAAATCCAATTTTAATACCTTACCCTCGGTAACCCAGAAACAGATGGACAATAGGTGCCTATTCCCTATGCAATTCAATACAGCTAGTCTTGAACTAGCTACTACAATACGGAAGAATTGGCACATATTAGAAAAGGATCCTTCTCTCCCTGTCATTTTCCGTCAGAAACCCATGATGTGTTATCGTCGGAACAAAAATTTAAGGGACCTCTTAGTGAAGACGGACCCAGTTCATTGCTACAGACCGATGAAGAAAGAAAACACCAATGTGGGATGTGTGAGGTGTTTGGGATGTGTAACATGTGGCCACCTCATCCCTTCTAAAACCTTCACACACCCCTTTACGGGAAAGATTTATAGAATCAAACAACGTATTCATTGTAGAACAGAGTTTGTTATATATAAATTGACATGCCCGTGCGGACTTAATTACATAGGGAAAACAGAAACAGCACTCTGTGAGAGAATAAGGGGCCACAGGTCTAGTATCCGGTTAGCCTATCGTGATGGCAAATCAGACAAGCCCGTGGCCAGACATTTTTTAGAATTAAAGCATCAACTCTCTTCACTTAGATGTGTTGCCATTGAACATGTCCCTATTGCGGTCCGAGGTGGTGATAGAGCTAGGCACCTGTTGCAGAGAGAGACTTACTGGATTTGCCAGTTGGGAACTCTAGCACCCAGAGGCCTAAATGAAAAATGCTCGTTCATACCATTCTTGTGAAGAATAGAGTACCAATTCTTTGTTATTTAGAGTTGTAGGCCTTCAGGCATTAATACAAAATTGTTTGTTCCCTTTTTATTTAATTTAGATCTTAGTCTCCTAATTTAAAAATATTTGAAAAATATTTGAAAAATATCTGAGATGCTTACTTTATGTGTAAAGTTCATACCATCGATTATACTGATGGTTATATTTAAAATGCAAGAATTTTTTGGAATAATTCTCTTGGAGAAATATGAGCCACTCATACGAGAGAATTATTCAGATTGCTTTTATATATAGTATACTGCTCTTTAAGATTTTAGATTATTCATTATTTGTTTGTATTTAGTATCTAATGGTGATACTCATTACAGGTGCAGTATTTATTGTATTAAATATAAATGGTCCATTCAATTTACATAATTCTATTACAGAACCTTCACTCTCATTTTATAGGCTGTTCTTCAGCCCAGTAACACAGCATCACTTTTTGTTTCATCACATTCACGCAATATGCATTCCCAATAATGTTCACTTCAACTTATTAACTTGCTCTTTATACTATTATGGCTGCCGTGTGCATAGAGGCATATTAATATTTTTTCTAAATATATTTTCACAATATCGGCATCCTTTGTCTTTTAAGGAGAGCATTTGTCACTTTACCACTCACTACCACACTTTTAATTTATGCAACATTGTTGGACCATGTTTGTTGCTTATTATGCTTTAGTGTATTCTCGTTCGCGTACTGATGACGCTTTGTGGTCGCCATGCCAACGGATCACATCCGGAAACCTGTTTGTCCCTCGTCGGCTCAGGTACTGGTGGTTGCAACCAATAGGATTATGTTGATCCTGGTTGCCCTGGTAATGTACCGAGCTGTCCAATTAGATTTCGTCAGGGGAGTCACGTGATCGGAATCCGGAAGTGTTTCAGTTGGACGTGGCGCCCACGGCGATTTTGGCGGGCACGAGAATGCTACACACCTGAATGTAAGTATACACCATTATATGTCCTATATAAGTGTATGTCAATGCTTTTGATATTTTGTGTCCTGATGAAAGCTCCTGTGAGGAGCTGAAACGTCGATCTATACTTCGCAATAAATGAAGATTTGTTTGTGGTGAAACCCTTGAGTGCCGGTATTACTTTATCATATTCTATCCAGCCACCAGAGCACCAGGTATTTATTTTGTTCATAGTTGGAGTGCAGGGGTTTTCTGGATTTTTATATATATATCAACAAACTTCAGGTGTAAGGGGTTTTCAATCACAATTTTTCCCCACCATAACCTTTTTTCGTTTTTGCTTCCATATATATATATATTTGGTTTTGCAACCAGCCCCCTGGTTTCATATATATATATATATATATATATATATATATATATATATATATATATATATATATAATATGTGTGTGTGCGTGAAACCAGGGGGCTGCACTCACCTGAGCCAGGCCAACGCATTGATTTTGCACCCATCCCTGTCACAGGTGTCTTATCCCAGGGCCCTATTTAGTCTTGTACTGCAGAGAGCCCCAGATGGATTTCTTTTTCACTAGTAAGAGGGTTATTCTCAAAAGAGAAAACATTAGGCTGTCAGAGTAGGACCTGCCAAAGATGGGGTACATTGATGTTGTGGCAGGCTTATGCAATGTATGACCATATAATGTAACTAAACCTCCATTATTTTTGCCTAAACTAGGTGTTTTTAAATAAAACTAAAAAAAAATAATTGTAATACTATCTGTGAGCTTTGTAGTTGCTGTTTAGTGGATGAGTGAGTGCATTGGATCTTGTGTTTTCCAATACAATTGCAAATTATCAGCAATTACAGATTTTTTTGCGATTGACGTTAGATGGGTGCATATGTTTTCAGAGACTTCAAACTGTTTGCAGATTTAGTATTTTCTGGCATTTTTTTCCCATGTATGTGGAACTCTATAGGAACTGCTCGAATTAGTTATTTTTTTAACTGGGGGATGGAAAGTGAGGTGCAGGAAGTGGAAAGGAGGATGTAGAGAGTGGAGGCAACAATAGTGAGCATAGTGCTCAGGGGCTGTGTGAGGTTTCCAGAGAGGTGTTTATGGACCAGAAAAGAAGATTGAAGAGTACATTTGATAAACTTACTATCTGAATTTGAATTCAGATGAAATCAGATATCCACTTCTAAACATATCAAACTCTCCCATTGAACATTCATAAACAAAAATAACAAAATGAATGAATAAAATCAAGAAAATGGCTAAAATCACATAGATAATAATTCTCCACCATTTAGTTCTCAGCCTAGTAAACAGTGGTGGCTGGTGAAGTTTAAAGATGGTGGGACTTTAACCTCGCTGATTTGTTAGACTCTACCCACTTAACCCCATGAGATGTCCTCACCTGTTCACAATCAGCTGCATCTACTGTCATCAATAAAGAGGAGAGTGAAAACTGTAGATATACTCATGAGAGATACATTTCTTCTAACACACACTTATCAGTAGACCTTATAATGCCAATAGATTTTTATTTTTTTTGCAACAAAAACTGAAGGCTGTTGCCTAACCTTCCCTTATGGACCAGCTCTACTGATAGTAAACAACCTGGTATAAGGTTTTCCATTACTATAGCTGTAGATGGAGAATAAGAGATATCTATGAGTAAAATAGGAAAGTACTTGGGAAACTTCCCATGATGACGTTTGCTCTCTTAAGTTAATACATTTCTTTGTTTAGTATGTGTCAGTATATGGCCCCCAGCTCTTTTATTGCATCAATTATTGTACATAAATAAGATATTGTCTGTTCTCCTGTTATCTTAAAGTACAGCAAACGCGTAGAGTGTCGCCTGACGGGATAATCAATATTTTGTATGCTGCTTGCTGTCAGTTATTGATTACATTTTTAAACTAAAAAGTAGGGATAAAGCATAATAACAATTTTTAATTGAGCATTTATGTTGCTATTCATCTTCAGTTTATATAATTTCATCTGGACTGACCACCACCAGTATACAGCATCGAAAGAAATAAGGCAATAAAAGATATAAAAATTTGCCTGCTGTAATGGCGATTTGAAGGTTAATATATAGGATATAAAGACATAATTGATACAATAATAGTTAAGGTTAAATATTTTGTATTTGCTCTGAAGAATATATTGTTCTGTTGGAGAGCACACTAGAGTGGCATTTCTGAGACAAGGGACATCATCAGGTAGCATTTCTACTGAGTAGTTTTCAATGGTGGGCTCAGATAAACCGACTTATGGTGATGATAGTATAGTAGCTCTGAGATCTCCACCAACTTTATCACAAAGACTTGGCACCTGAGTAGCAGAGATACTTGAAAGCTAATTACAAAATGTTGAGCAACTCAGGTCTTGTTACAAGAGCCAAGCAGGGCTCTCCGATGGATGTCTGCTGCACCTAAAATGTATCCTTACAGTTCTGGAGGAAAGCAGCCAAGACAAAAATGTAAAATTCCAAGCTATCATTCAGAAGGTGGACTTCTGCAGCCCCATAAGTGAGTGTACATATTCTGTATCTTGTCCCTGATTTGGGCAATACCCCGATTGTACTGTAAGTGTCAGGGTTTCTTTGCTGTTTTAAACAGCCACCCTTCCTTTTTCAGTGTCTGAGGTTTCAGCTGTAATTAACGATCAGCTCCTTCAGCATGTTGCCACGGTTACTCACCTGAGAATAGTAATCAACCCTGCTGCTAATCAGTTCAGCCTATTTAAGCAGCAAATCCCAGAACCTCCTTGCCCTTGCGTGGTTTCCTGTTCCCCAGAAGTCTCCTTGTTCCTGTGTTTCCTGTTTGCTCCTGGTTCCTGACTCTGGCCTTGTTCCTGACTCCGCTGACCTCCGTGCTCCTGATCCTGGCTCGTCTGACTACCCGCTCTGGTGACTGACCCCTGCTTGCCTCCTGGACTTTGCTTTTGGTGATTTCTTTGTTATTTATTAAATAAAGGTGTTTTTGCATCTAGATCTGTCTCTGTCTGGTTCCTGGTTCCTGACAGTAAGTTATTTATAAGGTGCAAAAACAATGGATCCCACTATAGCCTAATTCCTCCAATTCATATTATCAAGCATTCCTGTTATTTTTCTACTTCATATTTATTTTTCTTACTGTTTTTCTATTGATTAATTTTTGATTTTGGCGTGTATTTGACAATATAATAAATGAGCAAATACTCGGTTTGTGAAGACTGCAATGAAGTGGAGAGAAGAGACTTGTCTAGCTTGTGAGTCAGTTTGCTGGGTTAGAAATATTAACTTCGGAACAATGGCTTTTCCAAATTGCAGAAACACTATAAACCCTCACTTATCTCCAACCCTTCAATATATTATCTGTAATAGAACATGTAGAGGGAAATTATGCAGTGTTAATATTCATTATCTACTCATGCAAAGACTTAGAGAAACAAAAAAGTAAAATGTAAAATAGTGATGAGTAATGCCCCTTGTATCTCTCTATACATTGTTGAGTAAAAACACTTACAAATATGCATACACAAAGAATCTGTGTTATAAAGGTACTTACATTCCCGAAGCTACTCACTTGAAAATGTACACTCTTTATCTAACATGTACTAAAGTGCTCAGCTAGCTAAAATAGGGCAAAATATATATAAGTAAAATAAATACATAAATAAAGAAATTTGGCTTGAGAAGCAATATATAACGTTATTTAATTTAATAAACAAACTAACAAACAACCAAAAACAAAGTAAATCTAATTGCCAATCGGAGACCAAGTCCTAGATAGAATTTCAATAAGTTGACACAGACTATAATTTTGTACATCTGGTAACTGATCCTGACCCATCTAATTAGCTGATACATGACTAAACATTTTAATTGATAAATTTTACTTTGAAAAAAGTCCTGAATCATTGTATTTCACAATTCATCCTACATCATTGTATTCCACAATTCAAAATGAAGGTTCCAAGAGATCACTTAGAGATTTCACTCATGGAATCTTTGCATTTTTGGTAATACCACCCTCCCCTCAGGTGGAAGCTGCATGGTGGCACCTGGGGGAGACAAGAAGGGAGACATGGTAAAATGAATCTATTTCTTCTGCCACCATTTTTTTCAGCCGGTTTACATTTTACTTTGGTATTCTCGCGCATGTGAGATACAAAATATGAGGTCAATGGAATACACATCTTGTTCATGAGCAGTGAGATGTCGTAGGCATAACGTTTTCCAAGTTTCAGTTAAATGGTAAATAGCAAAATTTGGTGATGGAAGCTACTTGAATCTTCTTATAGTGTTGAAATGTTAATGAAATTCCAAAGCAATCTTTATTAGTTTTTCATAAATATTCAATCTCTATGAGAAACTCAAAATGACAGTGCCACTTTAAAAAAAAAAAAACTACTTGTTTTAAGGAACACTCAAAGCGCCATAAACACTACAGCGGTTGACAGGAGTTCCCTGGAACACCCCCAATTGTAGGGAGTCAAAATGTATTAGATCTGTTTGATTTCCTACCTGGGGCCTGCTAGTGCTGCTCCCCGACGCCTGTACTCTACATAGAGAGCCGAAAGCTCTCTGTCTGCGCTACGCCTTGTGGTGCAGGGTTTAGCTTATTGGCTAAGAGCAATCAAGTGATTGCCCTGAATTATAAGAGAGCTAACAGAAGTTCCTACTCTCAGCTTTCTGGTGGAAGTAGTGGACGCAAGGAGTTACACCCATCAGACTCCAGGTAAGAATGTCAAACCATTCTATAATGGGGCAGAGCAAGGGAACACCTGGCACCATAACCACTACAACACGCTGCAGTAGTTATGGTGTTTGGAGTGATCCTTTAAAGTACTCTCTGTGTGTGTAAATGTCTAGTGCTCATAAGACAATTCTTTTGTCTCAAACTTTGGAAAACAAATAAGAGACATCAGCTTCGCAGTTCATTGCCCAAATAGACAATGTCTTTTTTCTTTTTTGTCTTAATGCGCTTGATGTCAAAAATGTTGGAGATATGCGGTTAAGCACTTTGAAGAAATTCCATTCAATATGAAAGGATGCTAAACTGATAGCTGCTTTACTGATGGTTCCACTCATGGTTTTATGAGTAGACCTGTCAGAATGTAAAGTGTGTGACAGAGGCTCAGGCTCCTACACAGTAAGCATTGAAGAAGCCTTTTAGGGGAGGTAGGGATTTTTATATATGTATGCAGTATAACGTGTATGCAGTACACATTCTTTTCATGGTTAGAAGAGCAGAGTCAGGTACAGAAGGGAAATACTTATAGCTGCTGCAATTCCATATTACATTTACATTTTATTTTTTATTGTATATTATGTTATAAATATTATACAGCTTTATGTAGGAACGGTAGTTTTTCATTCACTATTACATAGGTAAGGAGTAAGAGTTGCTATGGTGCTCGGACTGTATTATTAATTTAGAATGCGTTGACCGCTGTTAGCTATGCAGAACATATGAAATATGTATGGTTTTGTTTTTGTCCGTTGCCTTTAATAACATAGAGTCCTGTGGGTGCTGTCTTCCAGGAGTTGCCCAGCCCTGATTTACTTTTGTGAAAAATTACCTTATTTACATAAAATAAAAACAGCTGTAAGAGAAATCACATATTCAGTTGTTCGATTACAAATACTATTGGATCACTACCGTGATCTTGCATTCTCTAACTTGTGGGTTGCTTTCAAACCACTTCATGACAGAACTTAAGAGCATGCATACTTTCACTAATAAATACGTGGGTTTTAGAAACAAATTATAAAAAGTTCTAGGTACCTTACGTTCGTAGTTATCAAAAAAACTGAAAGTCTTGGGTGGGTATGAAAAAAGCTCTAAGTCTGAAGGAGAGGCAAATTTAATATCACGTAAGGTACAAGGCAATTTGGATAGAACGAAGGGAAAAAAATTGGCTTTGCTGCAAGATTGCAACATGAAAAAGCACAGAACGGCACATCCAAAAGTTTACATTCACATGATTTGAATATTAATTTTGAGCAATGCTATTATTTGTGGCAATATTTTTTAGTAAGTAGCACTCTCCACTTTTACAATAAAATAATATAATAATATGTGGAATTCCCAAAATGTATGGCTTAAGGACGTGATTTTTTTGTGTGTCATATCATTTAAATAAGAATATTTTACCATATATGTTGAACATTAAGTAAATTATGGAGCATTGCCATTACTATACCAATATTTAATTTATGTCATGGATGATATATCAGCATTATCAGGTTGTCCGAAAAACCAGCAAAAAATTACAGCTGTATCTCAGAACTTACCTTTGTGCGATTAAGTTGTTTGTCTCATAGCTGCAAAAAACTGGAATGATTTAAAATATTTTGTGAAAGTAAATATTTGGCATAAACTGGCATGTCAACCGAGATATGCCATGTAAAGCACATGGCGATTTGGATACATCAATGGGAAAAGAATCATCTTAGTTGCTAGACTGTCAAATGAAAATGCGCAAAACCATACGTATACATAAGTATAATAAGATGATGTTATTAACTACTTACAAGTTGCAGGAGTTTACTAAATTTTATAGCTAATATACAAAAAGGCAGATTTACTAGCGTTCGAGCAAAAACACTTTAAGCTAAAAAAAGACTTTAGAATCTACTACTTCTAAAAGATCAATGCAATTTACTACTCAGACTTAGAGTAACCAAAATAGCGTAAGTTAGAGATAGAGTACAGAGTGCAGTTGGTAATGGAAAGTTTTCACATTTGTCAAGAGTGGAAAGTAGAGTATCTCAATATTCCGTCGAAGGTCCACTTAATCTCTTTGTGTAATAATCTGTAGACATCAGCCTGTGTGAAGGTGAAACGCGTTAGTGTACTGATGTTTTATACTATACTTTTGGTTTTATTATTTTGGTTATAAATAAATAAGTTTTTATCAAATTTGGGACTTCTTGTTTTTATCACTGAAGATTTTTACCTGGAGGATTCATACTTTGGTTTCCTAGGTGGGGAAGATACCACCTAAATTATATAGGATTGAGCATACGTTTACTGTGCTCTCTATTTGTGAGTATACCTTCTTTTATTATTTTATTAGCTGTACAGAATGCACAGCTGTACAAAATCTTCTGTTTTTATTTAAATTTTATACGCTAGTGAACTCTTGCTGTGAGAAATATGAAAGAGACCACTTCTACAAATGCTGATGACCACCACACACTGCTGACCGGCCTAAGGATATCTTTCCACGTAAGATTAAGACCAAGACCAAGATCAGCATATCCACAGACAGGTACTGTACCGTCCAAGCGCATATATCTAGAGTTGATTTCAAGCTCCAAAAGATTGTAAGTGCATTTCCTTTATTTTATTTATCATCACCAGCATCACAAATACTTCAGCATATTCCATTGTATTTGTCCTCTTGTTTTGCATATCGTTCCATCTTTATTTGAGTTGAGGACACTTGTGAAGGTGCTGCTTCCCTACATTCCCTTTATATTGAAAGTCATGTCTTTGCTTCCAGATGACTTAAAACACAGTTTTACTTCTTATCGGATGGATCTGGATACATTAGAATGCTGGGCAGACAAGTTACAAAGTTACATAATCTAGGTTGAAAAAAGACTTAAGTCCATCATGTCTAATTCTCAAACCAGATTATAATTAATGTAGATAAGTGCAAAGTTATGCATTTTGGGTAAGGAGCCCACACGCAATTTATACCTTAATGGAGTTGAGTTGGGTAACACTGTCAGTGAGAACAATAATTAAAGACAATAGACTAGACAATAATCTGACATGCTAGTTAGCAGTTTTAAAGGCCAGTACGGTACTTTCTTGCTTATAAAGAGTTATACATTATTGTGATGAAAATTATTTAGCCTCTTTATAAAACCATGGTAAGGATACCAGCTTGAAAATATGCTGTAATTTTTAGGAACCAGTTTAAAAAAATATATTAGGAAATTAGAAAAAGTGCAAATGTGGTCTACAAAATTAACAAGGGACATGACAAACAATTAGTTATGAAGAAAGGCTCTAAAAGCTTTACTAGCGTAGATTACAGTGTCGTCTGTATACATGTGTACAGTTGAGGATTTGCAGACGTAAGGCAGATCATTTATAAATAATGTGAATAGCAGGGGGCCCAAAATGGAGCCTTGGGGAACACCAAACGTGACTGCAAGAGGGAGGGAAGCGCTATCAGAAATGGCCACATATTGCAATCAGTCTGATACGATCGAAAGCAGGTTAGCGGACGATCACCAATGCCTGAGTTTTTACGTTTTTGAAAAAGAATACCATGGTCTACTGTGTTATAGGCCTTGGCAAAATCAAGGAAAATAGCTGCCGTTACGTCTCCTTGCCAATATGGATGTCATTGCAAACTTTTAAGAGGGCAGTCGATGTTGAGTGATTTCGACGAAAGCCTGATTGATTAGCGGTCAGATAATTTGATCGTCGATAATATTTACATGTGTGTGGATGCATTTTTCCAAGATTTTTGACAATACAGGGAGCAATGATATATACAGGGTCAATACAAACAGCTGTCTGACAATCTGTACATTAACAGGACTTTTCCTTAACATAAGACAAGAGGTCATCATTTGAGACTTGAAGAAAAGGAATTTCATCTACAGCAAAGAAAAGGGGTTCTTCACAGTAAGAACATTAAGGATGCAGAATGATTTGCCTAAAGAATTTATTTTATTAGATTTTGAAAAAACAAAACCTGGATAATTGTTTTGAAAAAAACAAAAAAACAAACCGAATATTGCAGGGTACAATAGTTAATGTGGTTGGTAACAGAGTTTTTAACCAAAGATATATTGAATTGCCATTTTGGAACCAAGAAGGAATTTTTATCAGTTTGTGGCACAATTAGAAATGGCTTCATATTGGGTTTTATGTTTTTTTAAACACAGAATGCCTACGGCCACCTTGCTTTACCAATAATTAGCAAAATGTATTATTTGGTAAATTATAGTGTATGAATTATAGTGTATGAATGTTGATAAAGGGTTTTATATGGTGTGTTACATTTAATTCTTTAGACCAGGGGTGCCCAAAAGGTACATCCCCAGATGTTGTAGAACCACAACCCCCATAATGCTTTGCATGCCTTTAGAGTATCTTTAGAATGACAAAACATCTTGGAAGGTGTTGTTTTAAAACATCTAGGGATCTACCTCTTGGGCACCCTGCTTTAGACAATAACCTAATGCAACACCCATCACTCGCGCTGTCATCATATAGGACATTATTTACATAATTATATATAATTCTAAATAAAATAATACATTTAAAAAATAATATATATATATATATATATATATATATATATATATAACAAAAAAATCAGCACTCCCAGGTGATTCACACATAACTCTTTTACTAAAAGTGTAAAAGTGTCAACGTTTCAGTTCCACATAGGAACATTCATCACAACAGTTCCTATGTGGACGAAAGTTCCTATGTGGAACTGAAACGTTGACATTTTTCAAGTAAAGGAGCTATGTGTGAAATGAATTACCTGGGAGTGCTGATTTGTTTGTTTGTTAGGTCTTTTTTTCTATTATATATGTGTGTGTGTGTGTGTGTGTGTATGTAATTTCATTTTGCTTGTCTTTTGATATATACGTAGAATGAAATTATTATATAATTTAAAAATAATATTTTTATATATTACTAACATTTATTTATTTAAATTCTACATTTTGACCTTTTATTTAGGTATTTTCTCTACATAATTGTGTAATTTTAATAATTACAATTTTAGGGACTAGAGAATTTGATTTGCAAGCCCTATATTTAACCATATAACTTTTTAAAACACCATTTAATCTATACATGGGGGGGTTCTGTTGTGCTCAGACTTCTCTCTACACAAATATGAGTGTTTCAAAGCAGTAAAACATATCACGATGATGTCATATCATTAGTGAAAGTGCATTTTTTTGAGTGAAAAATGCAAAAAACTAATATGAAAGTTAAATCTGACCTTGGTTTGTCACTAAGTGTCCACTAAAAAAAAGTCTGGACATACCTTATTTTGAATACCCTGGATTGTCTACTTTTATGAATGGTATGCCATGATGATTTTAGTTTTCGTTCCTAGGCTTCCATACAGTCTCAAAGGCAACATAGGCCCAGCAAACCAATGTGGCAAATTTCAAAGTGTAAAAACTGAAAAGGGGAAAGCCCTATATTTTACATTGCAACTTTCCAAAAACAATAAAACTTGTACATGGAGGGTACTGTTGTACTCGTGAAACATCACTGAACACAAATATGTGTGTTTTATTGCAGTAAAAGCTATTGTGCATGCATGGTGACATCTAGTATAATTTAAAGGACTCAGAGTCCGGTAAACTCCCAGAAGCGCTTCTAGTAGCTGTCTGGTAGAGGATCTCTTAGTACTGCAATGTAAATTTTGCAGTTTCTCAAAAACTGCAATGTTTTACACTGCAGGACTAAGTGGGACAGGGACACTGCATCCAGACTACTTAAATGAGCTGAAGTGGTCTGAGTGCCTAAAGTGTTAAACTAAATGTTGGTTTTCAAATTACTTCTTAGTGAACAACCCCAAATTTGTTTAAATTGGGGTGTTTCTCTGATTATTTATCTCTCTCACCCTCCCAGCTGCATCTCTCTTTCTATCACATGAATACATATCTCCCAGCCTCATCTCTCTCTCCCTTTCTCATCTACATAATTGGCACAGCCTTATCTCTCTCTCAGCTAAATGTTTCTCCCATCCTTACATCTCTTTTCCGACCTCATCTCGTCTACAACAGTAGAGCTACAGAGAAAATTGAGAATGTACAGCCGGGACTTTAGTATACTTCCTAACTTTGGGAGGTAGGTAACTAGGTCTGGGGAGGTCGGCCCTGAACAAGGCATTGCCATTGATGTAATCCAAGTCACCAGCAATGACAATAATGGGCAAGTTTGCCCTGAAAAGGGGGCATATCTTCCCATGAAAGTTGCTAAAGCAATCTCTGCATGGTTCTAGTGCCCACTGCAAATGCAGTTGCGCTCTGCTGCCTGGTAACAGTTCACTGGTGTCCCCACATGCAGGACACCAGGGAACTAAAGAAGAAGAGCAAGGAAGAACCTCAAAATTGTGACTGTCCCACAGAAAGCGGGAGTATAGGGAGGCATGCTTTAGTTCTTCTCGTTGAGAGCAAAATGTGAAAACTGTTCTTAGCAGTGAAAATTAAATCCTTCCTTACGTACTCAATTTTTCACTCTATAATCTAATTCTCCCATGTGAGAAAACATCTTTGCTGCTTCTAATCTGTTAGGATGTGTGGCGAAACCGGCCTCGCCACGTATCCTTGGAGGGGGCTGCTTGCCCACCTCTTGCCTTTGGACTATGGACCAGACTTTATGAGAATGTGTTAACCCAGATAGCTATGCCATGGAGCCCATTTGTGTAGTTAAAGACTTCGGCTCCATGGCAATTGAACTGTGTGAATAGGATCTGAGCGCTCTTCAGTAGTTTTGTGCGCTCAGATCCCAGCTATCTGGGGATATGTGAAATGTCTGTGTGTTATGTGAAAAGGTTACTTTATGTATTTTAAAGTGTTTTGTGTCTTTTTGCAACCATGTGCTTAATGGAGTCTTGTGTCTGTCCTGGGAGATAATTGAATTACTCTCCAGGATAGAAGACTCTGAAACTGGTTTGGGCCAGAAAGCCATGCTTCATTTAGTCACAAAGGACTTTCCCTTAACTTTTGAACCCCTAGTCTGATTCGTGCCATTTTTTAATATGTTGTTGCCCTGAATGGATTGATTATGAAAATGTAAGTTTTATGTATGTACGATGTTAACTCACAAAGTTATAAAAATGTACACAAAGTAACTTTTCAGCTTGGAGATAATTGAGTAGATACAGTAATTGACTCAATTATCTCCTAAGCAGAGGGGAGGAATATGCTGGGTGTGTTTTTATTGTCCCATTGTGTCTGATTGGCTGCTGTACTTGCATTGTATGTGTTGTAATGTGTTTATTGGTGGTTCTGCAAAACCCTGTGGGCAGTACTATGTTTTGTGGATTGTAATAAAAACCAGGCTGGGTGTGCCAGCACTGGAGTTCCTGTTTTAACCCTCAAAGTGAAGTGTCGTCTCATTATTGGGGGAAGGATTTATTGTATGCTGTTCCAGTTTGACTGCTAGGAGAGTAAACCTATTCGTATGGTTCCTATTCAACTGTCTACAGCATTCATATGCTTGAGAGGATTCATATGCTTCTCCGGTTCGGTGGTTGTGGTGTCTGCTGCAGTGCTTGGAGTCCTCAGGAAGCGCTAGGAGCATCCTTTAACGGAGGTACCCATTCGGGGTGCCAGGTGATCCGTTACAAGATGCATGACCAGATTTCGATTCATAAGAGTTGTAGTTCTGCAACAACTGAATGTCTACCTTTTTAAATTTGAGAATGTGGAAGGGTTCTTTAAGGGACACTCTGGTAACCATAACAACTTCAACTAAAATAATTTGTTATAGTGCCAGGAGGCCAGCTGGGATTTCTCTAAGCCAACCTGACCGCTCTAAGCCAATTAAAGGCGCCCATGCCTGGTGGCACCCCAAAGCTGGTTGCCACCTGGGGGACCTGCAGATCAGTGCTGGTGGTAAACTTTGGGGTTAAACCGCTTGAGAAAAGTTTAACCTCATAAGGTAAGTGTAAGCCAGCGGCCTCCTGGCACCGTAACAACTCACTTTAGATTAAGTTGTTATGGTGACTGAAGTATTACTTTAAGGATTGCTGTAATATATAACAACTGGTAAATGTACTGGTGTAGTGATTACTGAAGTGAAACAGTATTTATTTTGGTGGGGTTGTAGTGATGATTTAAAGCATTGGTGAAAATGTCTTCAATGGTTTTTCCTCTGAATCTTATTCCTACACTTGCTCTGAGGAGATGTAGGAATTACCATACAAATGTATCTATTTCCTCCATGTAAAATGCTTATGCATGCTGCCGTATAGTAACCAGCATCGAAGTGCCACCATCTGATGAAAACCTTGACATATGCATAGTCGCTTTTTCGGCATATGCAGTATATAAACCCCCAAAACCCAAGGATACTCAGACTTATATTTGGGAAAATTATCATAGCTTTATTAATAAATGCAACATATAAATTATTAAAGGTCATTGTCAACATATTTAACATAACATCTAAGCCCCAACTCTTTTAACAATTCGACCCTGACAATGATCCCCATAAACAAACAATATTAACATATATTAACATATAAATAACATCTAACCACTTAAACCATTGCCACAGAGGGCATGATTTACCAAGTTCCACCATGTAGGGGGTATACCAAGATACTCCCTACACACACCAGGTTCGGAGCTCTGACAAGCTCAAACCAACCAAAATCTAACCAAACAGTTGTTAGCGAACTAAACTATGTTACATCTGGACAAACAACCTACACCCCAACCTGTTTATCCATCCCCCGCAGCCGTGACCAAACGGGATCCTGAACCCCCTTAAAGGGAGGATTAATTAAGATGGCCCTTGATCTAAAATGACTGCTATATGTACTCCCATAATCCAAAACCCTGAGCGTGCAGTCCCTGGGGTCCAGTGGGGCTGCTGAGCAGCTGGCGTGCAGGCGGCGAGGGAGCAATGATCTCCCTGCTCAGCTCCCACGAGCGCCTCTTAGTGGAGCCGGAGTGACGTCATATTCCGGCTTCAGCATCACTGCTGTGCGCGCAAGGGGACTGAGCAGGGAGATCACTGCTCACTGCTCCCTCACCGCCTGCGACTATTTTATTTTTTAAACTTTTGGCAGAACCCCAATTGGCGTTCCGCGGAACCCTGGGAAACACTTGTCTAAATGATTGTATGTGCGTCAGATAGTTTAAAATTAGTGATTGTAAGTGTGTGTATGTCAGTGTATCTGAGAGTGTGTGCTGGTGCGTGAGTGTGTGTCTGTCAGTCAAAATGTGTGTAAGTTAACAGGAAGAGGTGTGGCCTTGGCAGGAAGGGGCAGGTACATTTAAATTAGGGGGTGCCCGAGATCTGTCATGCCTAGGACAGCACCATTTCAAAATACACCACTGGCTATAGTGTTCCTTTAAACAATCCTTGTGGGTATACAAACTGTTGTAATTGCCTAGTTTATAATGCTTGCACATTTTAAGATATGATTTAGTCCCACTGCACATAAAATTCAAAACAAACTAGTTTTCTAAAACCAACCACATTTTCCAGCAGTTACCCACGCAGTTTCTATTCTAGCGCAACTTTTGACACAAAGATCAGTATCAGTAGCATGTGTGTCTGTCCCCAGATGACAACATCCTGTAAGGGAAAAACAATTGACATGGCTCCAAAGAGCAGTTCATGATATTGATAGAGTTATTAACTCAAGTGAGGATTCTGAAAATTCTTATGCAAATGAAGTTGAAATATACATTATTATTTTTCAAATGATTTTACATTTTCACAGTACTATTTATTATTATTCAAATTAAGGTTAAAATAGCTACACTGGAAAAATTCTGTACGTCAGCTATATTTTTAGTTCGTCTACTTTGACCTTAAATTTGAAATGAACTTTGAATTCTTATTTTAGTAAATAATCCCATGGAAATTTTTATTAAAGGGACACTCCATACCACTAAAGCAGTTTAGCTTGTTGAAAAGTGTTATGTGCCCTCTTTTTTTAATTTTGGAAATAGTGCAGATTTCAGTATAACTTATACTGGTTATAACCTCCCTTGCTTTTCAAACAGACAATAGAAAACAGGTCCTGTTACTTCCTGGTTTGGTTAGCTTATTTGCACTGAACTCAAAAGGCAGCAATTGCCTACAGCACCTGCCTTGCAAAGACTTCTCATTGAGCTACATTGGGAAGTCTGTGATTGGACAGTCACATAAAGTCTGGGAAGGGTTTGTAGAAGGTGGCTTGCAAAGGCTGCAGACAAGAGATCTGCAGTTTTTGCAAGGTGTTTTTCTATACCTAAATGAAAAAATGTATAATTACATGCATGCATGTTTTACTTTGGGGGCATATCTACTAAACAGTGATGTTTATTTATTTAGTATTTGGGCAGTGGAGTGTCTCTTTAACTTAAAAAATCACAATACATTGTATTCAATTTTATATACCACATTTAACTTAGAATTTTCAGTGCATTTCAATACTCTATAATTACAGCATAATAGTTCCACAATTGCTATGAGGGATTGTTATACATTCTTCCAATACATCTATAGAAAAATAATTTTTGTTCATAAAGGTATTGTAACACTTACTATATGTCATTTACCAATTGGTTAAAATTTGCTATTTAAATATTTCTTGAAACACAATTTTAGTGGTGGAAACCCAAAATATTTTCCGAGCTTTGCATCAGAAAGCTTGTTTCCTGTCGCAGTTTCCTGCCATATGCAGATTTCTCTTTTATGTTCATTGCATAATCTAGTTGAAGATCAAAAGACTACCTGAAGTTTGACATTTGCTCCAACAGTTCTGACTAAAATAGGAAAGTGATAGGTCAGTTTTTTTCGTTACCTGGTTCATAATTTCCATCCTGGTATCACAGAGGGGAAATCAGCTGCCAGACAACTTTCCTTTCCTAATTTTTGCTTTACTGTATTTGAGATGTGTACATTTAACTAGTAAGTGATAAGCAGTGCAAAGGAGAATTTGCTTAAAAAGTGGATTTTTATATAAATTAATTAGTATTCTCGATAGTGTGGTAAACTTTAACTGTGGCATAAATTCATCAATATGTAGGGTCTGGATTGGGGTGGAGAGAATATCAGATTGGTTACGTGCCTGGAACATGGCTCCTACTCAATTCTCTACCTGTGGTAGGTGTGATAAATTGAATAATAAACAAGGCAGAGGTCTTGCAAATGGTCCCAAACCCTTCTATTGTGAAGGGTATTAATGATCTGACCAGATTAAGAGGACTCCGAATCCCTTAGCTCAATTATAAGGGGACCATGAGGGCTTATGCACTCATTACCTAATAATAGTACCTATGTACTTGATTTCTCTAATGAGTTTTCTATACTTTTATAAAACCAAAGGGTGGGAAAATACGTCTATCAGTGTACTGCAAAATATATACATAATATATGTATGGGAAGGAGAGGAGTTGAATTTAGCGCACTTATATAATGATTTCCTTATTATATTTCGTAACATTGACAATCAAACTGCACAATGAGAATAGTTACATTTAATGTTAGGGTGATGTATACCCCAGATAAATGTAGATTGCTTCTTTTTCAAAGTCTTTATTTTAAAACAGGAAAAAGGCATTGACTTATTACAAATGTCCAGTATATACAAGGCATGGTCAGCAGTTCACGTCAGTTTTGTATGTAAAATAAGCAGGAGAAACAGAAACATATAATAAAATGAGAACTAAAAATATATCATCAGCAAGCTTTAAGTAATTCATGATTCACATACTTGTAATTTCGGGTCGATGCCCAACTATATTCATTGTGCTTGACCAAAAGGTGTCCCAGGATTGGAGTTAGCCATTTAAAGAAAATAAATAAAAAGAGGGGTGGGGGTAGAAGGGCTCTGCAGGTACTCAACCAGTAGATTACTCTCTTAACTTATCTTATGGAAGGTTCACAAATTCATCCCATATAGACTGTGTTTTATGGTAGATGGCCAGAATACCCCTAACTGTGGCTATGAGCTGATCCATAAGTCTATCATGCTCTAATTGGGTCCTGGTCTCTCTAATCAAGGGCAGATCCTACTTAAGGAAATTGGTCGCCAGCAAACGTCTGGCTGACAGAGTTATTAGAGAGCCATGGGAAATCTAACAGCATGTTCTACAGATGGTCGAACCTCTAATTTCTGCTTCCACCAGGTTTCTAAAACCCCTTGCACATATCCAGCAGGGGAAATCCTTACTCTGGAAATGAGGAGCCATAGAGGATACATTTCCAAAAGGACAAGCTTGATCCTGACCCTATCCCTTATGTTAATGGAATTTAGTATGGCTGTGCACTGCATCCTCGATATTGCTCTCTGAGAGCCCCCCAACAGATAAATCTGTGGATGATCCAATGTTCACCCATTTCTGGTATAACACAATCTGAGCTAGCTGACCAGATTAATAGTACATGAACAGACTCAGAAGTCCCACCACAACCCTCTCTTTATGTCTGTACAGTAATGTTCTAGCTACCTGGTGATTTCTGTTATTATATACTCATTTGCATATTTAGAATCTAAGTTTCATTAAGAGGCCAGAGACGTAGAAACGTGTTAGGGTCAGCGATAGTGAGTAGTACATCATAGGCAAAAGTTGATCATTTGTATGTATCTGACCCTATTTTGATCCCTTTAATAGTCGGGTGCTCCCTAATCTGGTGTAGAAGAGGTGAAGGCATAGTAGAAGTAAGAGGGGGGAAGATTGGGCATTCATGTCTGGTGCCATTATGAAGTGCAAATGGTTTATGGTCTGTGTCTGGTAGAATCACCTGGGCTTGGATGTTTGAATATAATGTGAATATAGACCTGACAAAGGAGGGAGGAAAGTCCTAGTGTCTAGGAGACCAAACAGATAGAGCTATTTGACCCTATGAAAAGCCTTCTCTGCATCTACCGACAAAACCAATGCAGGTGTTTGTTTGTCTTTCACAAATAACAAAAAATCCAAATGATAATGGTGCTTATAATGTAATGTAGCAGCAGCTATCAAAGTGCAATAGCAAAAAATAAAAAAAAATTAAGGTGCGCTGCAACTTTAAATATCTTTCATAAGTATTCCACTCTCATCTAAAAGTGCACTATAACTTTAAGGAGAAAAGATGGTAGTGCAAAAAACACTGTGGACTATTGTTACAATAATGTGCATCAAGCAAAACATTTGTGTACACACATTCCCTTGTTAAGTGCATGCAAATATATAATAAACTGCTAAGTGTAAACACACTAACTCAAAAGTGCATCAAACATATAGTGCAAAATATAACTAACATGTAAGGAAAAAAAGAAAACAATATACTGTAATAATAATACTGTAATAACTAACATGTAAGGAAAAAAAGAAAACAATATACTGTAATAATAATAACCAACACATCTCTAAATATATGCACACTGGGGGGGCGTGGCTGACTACCGAGCAAGATGGCCGCATAAGGACTTGCTCTGGCACCGAGCTCTAACAAAAAGCACCAAAAGGCTCCCAAGGTGATGTCTCACCACAAAACAAAGAAAATGGCCTCAAAAGCCGACAAGATGTACTTTTTCAGCCACAAAGGCTCAGCACCGCAGACGACCTCCCAGCAAGATGCCCAAGATGGCGACGGAGACTCAGACACGAGTCTCTCCATGACGGAGCATGCACAGGCCGAACACATTACAAAGAGCTTTCTAGCACAGGTACTGGACACACTATCCAGCAAACTAATAGCCTCCTGGCAACAAACTGCAGGCACCCTGAGAAAAGAAATGCAGGACATAGGGACTCGCACATCTCAAATGGAGGACAAAATGGGAGACATTTTGCTACTGCCCATAATGACATAGCCGACCATGTACAGAGCCTGGCGGAAAAGGTGGAGCAACTGGAAGCACGGATGGCTGATGCCGAAGACAGGGCACGGGGGAATAATATCAGGCTCAGGGGGGTACCGGAGTCAGTTCAACATGCGAATCTCCAGGCCTGTACGAGGCCTGCTGCGGGCCCACGCACCAGACATCCCGGCGGACATGTTGCTGATTGACCGAGTACACTGAATCCCCAAACCCACATACTTACCGGATTCCACGTCACGAGATGTGCTTTTGAAAGTGTCGCAATACAAGACAATCTCATATGAATGAGACGCATAGGCCACTCCAGGGCCGTCTTTAATTTAGATTGGACCCTGGGCGAGCATTTACTTGGGCCCCCTGACTACGTCTAGATACACACAAATACACTACCTGACACACATGCAGATACACACTGACCACATATAGAAACACACAAGAACATACAGATACACACAGACTACATATAGATACACTGACACACACACAGATACAAACACTGACATACATGCAGATACAAAGGTACACACACTGACTACTTATAGATACACCGACACACACACTGACAGACAGACACACAGATACACACATGCAGATATACAGATACAAACACTGACACATACAGATACACACACAAATACAAATGGACAACATACAGATACAGAGACACATTCTGACAGACGTACTGACACAGACTCACACAGACTCACACACAGAAAACCATAATGAAACACACATACACAAAGACATACTGAACCACACAGACACTGATGGACTCTCACACACACAGACATACAGATACACTGACAGACGTACTGGCACATATACACACAGACAGACGGACATACTGAAACACACATACACACAGACATTGACAGACATATTGACAAACACAGACATACAGAACCACACTGACAGACTCACACATAGACATACTAACAGACTGAAACACACAGACACTGACAGATATACACACATACAGATATTTTGAAACTCACAGACAGCCATACTGAAACACACAGACACTGACAGACTCACACAGACATACTGACACACAGACAGACATTCTGGCACACAGACAGACATTCTGGCACACAGACAGACATTCTGGCACACAGACAGACAGACATGCTGAAACACACATACACACATACAGACAGACATGCTGAAACACACATACACAGAGACAGACAGACATGCTGAAACACACATACACACAGACAGACAGACATGCTGAAACACACATACACACAGACACTGACAGACAAACACACATCCAGACATTTTGACATACACAGACAGCCATACTGAAACACACATACACACTGAACCACAGACACTGACAGACTCACACACAGACATACTGACACACTGACAGACATACACACATACAGACATACTGAACCACACAGACACTGACAGACAAACACACATAGACATACAGATACACTGACAGACTTTGATAACCACCCTCCAGTTTCTTACCTTGTCCTGGAGGGTGGCTTCCCTGGGGTCCAGTGGGCTGGCTGGGGTGGCTGGGAGTTAAGCTCTCCCGGCCTGGCCCCCTCCGGAACAGCTGGTCCTCCTTCCTCCCGCGCGGCTCCTGTTTCTGTGGGAGGAAGTGACGCACGGCTGTCACTTCCTCCCACTGCTGCCGAAAAGCAAGGACCCGGTCGCGCTGTTAAAGCGCCACAGCGCCCGACCGGGCCCCTGCTGACACAGTCCCACCGGGTGGCCCTAAGTGCATGGGCCACCCGATGGGCCCCCATAGTTTGCGGGCAGAGGGCAAACAGGGCAGTTACCTCGGGCCCCCCAGCAGGGACAGGGCCCGGGGCAGCTGCCCCGTTTGCCCCGCGTTAAAGACGGCCCTGGGCCACTCCGACAGCTGACACGATATCTACGCCACAATATGTACGAAGTGAACGTATCTACAAATTATGCAATAACAGATATGTAAAATCTCTCCGACCCCCCCATCACTACCTCCCCTCCTATACCTTCTCCCCACCCACCCCGTACCCCATATACTGTTAGTATGTTAAAAGTACCAACATGCAGCGAATGAAGTAGTGAATGTAATACGAGCCAAGAAACTGTTAAAGCGGATGTAAAACTCACTGTGAAAACTTCCATTGTAATGTATGTATCAATGTATGTTGACATTATAAAATACAAATAAAAAAATAAAAAAAAATTAAATATATGCACACTCACAAACGGAGCAGATGAAGACTGCTCAGGCTATTGATTCTCCAAACAAATCACTTGAATAAGTATTTTACAAAGAATCCACCAGGCAGAAACTTTCTTTCAAAAATCTTTATTAATTAAAATAGGGAGAGTTTTAACATAACACTTTCTGGAAATCAAGTCCCCAACAGATTGAGAGCTCCTTGGATTTGATCATTATTTTTGAGGGACATCATTACATTGCAGGTGATGTCATTGCCCTGTCTCCTGGAATAGGAGTTGTTAGTGAGAGGTTCAGAGCCGGCAATTAAACCGAAACGTATTTCCAGAAAGTGATTTATTAAAGCAGCAGTAGCCAAAAAAGAGTATATATTAAAGGGACACTATAGTCATTAAAACAACTTTGCCACTTGTGCCTGGAGGGGACTACTGGCTAGCCTCCTGCCTTCCGACTATGGCCCCTGTGCTGATAGCTGTATTTTTCCCTGCAGAAATGTTTATTTGTGTATTTCTGCATATTTCTGACTTTCAGTATGTGAGTAGTGCTACACCAGATAGCTATGCCATGGAGCCTGTTCGTGTAAATAAAGACTATGGAAAAGACTTTGGCTCCATGGCGATTGAACTGTATGTATGTGATCTGAGCACCATTCGGTAATAATGTGAGCTCAGATCTAAGCTATCTGGGGATATGTTGCATTTAGTAATTGTAACATTGTGTAATTTTATGTATTTTTGCAACCATGTGGTTAATGGAGTCTTGCCTCTGTCCTGGGATATAATTTGATTACTTCCCAATTATCTCCAGGATAGAGAGGAGGGATCGTGATGTCACTGTGGGAGTGTTTTGTTTGTATTTTCTGTGATTGGCTAATATCCAATATGTGTCCCATTGTTCCATCAGGTCCCCTAGGGGAGTGTCCACCTGGTGGACACTTGCATAAATATCGGGCAGGTAGCCCTCAATAAACCAGACCTACTTGCACCTTTCTTGAAGTCTTGGCTCATGCTTGGGGGAAGGGATACCTACACTCTGGGGATTGCTATAATCACTTACTCCCCAGAGTAAGCTCTTGTAAGAGCTTGCTTTGTTCCTGCTACGCTCTCTGGATTTGGGAGAGATTCACCCACTGGGAGCTGGATCCTGGTCATGGATCCAGGGTGGGTGAGAGACGGCGAGACCCTGTCGCAACTGCATCACTGGAAGTGGGTCCACAGTGCTGATGGTGTCGGTTGGAGTGGTCAGAGTCCTCGGCAAGCGCTAGGAGCATCGAATGGCGGAGGTACTCGGTCGGAGTGGCAGCGGTCCATCACACAGGGGATTATAAATTCTAAATTAAACAGAAATTGCAATAAAGGAAGTGTAAACATTTGATGACTCTTTACAGGAAGTGTTTCTGAAGGCTGTGTTAGTCACATGAAGGGAGGTGTAACTACTGCTGTATAAACAAAGTAATTTAGCTCCTAAATGGCAGAGAATTGAGCAGTGAGACTGCAGGCATGATCTTGTCACAAAAACTGTTTTATTAAGATAAAGTTGTCATGGTGACTATAGTGTCCCTTTAACTGGGGCACATTATGCACAATAAACGTTACAGCTTGATATAGTAATTATGGTCTAATACATCTGTGTGTGCTAATGTTTTTTTTGCAGATTAAAATGCTAGTACTAGAATGTAAATTACATTTGTTTAAGGTGAATGAGGACTTGGAAGCGCCTGGATATATTTGATATTGGAATTGGATTTTTGTTTTCTTATAGGTTATGAATAAATCTATACTATGCATGTTTGTTTACTCTTCTGCTTGTTGTGTGTGCAATAACAGGTACAATAGAATATTATTCTTAAATGAAAAACATCATATCCTCATCATTCGTATTTATACTTATCACCCTAGTGTAAGTAACAATAAACTGTATGTTTCATAGTTGTTGTTTTTTAGTTTGTTTGTTTGTTTTTTAGCTTTCGAATCCCTTCGGAAGCACTCACAAAAAACTTGCTTTTAATTGTATCATTTATATGTGTTCATTAGCTTATTCTTCAATCTGTTTTTTTTATTTTATTTTTTTATAGGCCTCTTGATAAAAACTGGAAAAGATGCCAGATGCTGCTGGTCACTTGCCCTTCTATTATGGTAGCATCTCTCGTGCAGAGGCAGAAGAGTATCTCAAGTTAGCTGGTATGAAGGATGGACTCTTCCTGCTGAGGCAGTGCCTGAAAAATCTTGGAGGATATGTTCTCTCCGTTGTCTTCAATATTGAATTTCACCATTATCCTGTGGAAAAACAACTAAATGGCACATACATTATTGTTGGAGGAAAGCCTCACTGTGGGCCAGGTGAATTATGTGAATTTTACTCAAAGGATGCAGATGGACTGTGCTGTGTCCTTCGAACACCATGCAACCGACCTAGTGGGGTTCCATGTAAGCCTGGAGTTTTTGATAGCATCAGAGACAACATGATGAGAGAATACGTACGGCAGACATGGAATCTTGAGGTGAGCTGTAGTTTAAATGATAATAAAATTTTTATCAATTTAGTAGCTGACTAGATTTCAGAAGTTGTATACATAGAAAACAAGAATAAACCTTGTGAAACACGTGGAGTGAGGCAAACAATAGTTAGGTTCGGAAGAGTTGACTACTTGCTACCTCCTCAACATTAGCAGTCTCCGTTATCAGAACAGTAAAAAATAAATCCTTCATTACGAAAGTCTTCATTACTAAAGTGGTATAAAATTAGTCATTAAATAATTAGAAAATTCTGGTATCCCAAGTTATTAATCTTGTGCATTTGTTTTCAACCGCATTTCAGCTAATCCAAATCAAGGCCGATTGGTCGGTCACCCCAATTCCATAACTCCGAAGCACCATATGCACACAAAGGATTAACATGTTTGCTTGATTAGTGACTTGGAGTTGACTGATGGAAAAAAGATGATTGATTGGTTAGGGGGCAGCCATTGAGTGCTTGTTTTATTAACAAATCAAGTAAGAGTGACCAACTGGGGTTACATTTTATATATAATAAATATATAAAATATAATGAAAGATTTTTTTTACTGCTACTTCTTTTTTACTCTATTAGTTACTATTTCTCACATAATATATGAACCAAATGATGGGAAAATGCACCTATCAGTGTACTGCAAAATATATTCATAATATTTATATGATGAATATACTTTATAGTAACACTGATTGGCCAGTTTAACACTTGTTGGGTTCATTCACATTTTTTACCCTAATATTTTGCATGTACGATATTCAAACGAGCTGAACCACCACATGGACAACTACTGGACTACCTGAACTAACTTTTTTTTCCTTGGATTAAGTGATTCAGCTAAACCAAATTTTTCCATCAAGTCTATTAAAAATTGTCAAAGTTAGAAACCCAAAATGATGTCTATAGCCTACGTAATGTCTCTTATTAAATATAAACTTTTTGTGTTGTTTTATTTGAATGAGTCGATGAATGGGTTAGCGAATGGATGAGTGTATGCATAGCTATAACTACAGCAGACCCACTATTCCAGTGAGCTTCATGAGGCAGGTAGTAACAAAAGGTTCCTGGTTTCCCTGGCCTTGGCTGGCTCCTAAGTGAGTCAGGAAGGAGGTACTCTGAACTTGCAGCTGGTGGTTAGTTTCAAACAACAGTGGAAGAGCGTTATGCAAGAGGCCAATGTAACCCCACTCTTCCCATGATTAGGTCACTGTTTAGTTTTATGAAGTTTTATGTCACCAATGGAGAAAAGGAGAAGCTGTGGGTTGGAAACTCAGTCCTAGGTTGCTTTGCAATGCGACAAGCTACCTCCCTGACCCAATCGCCACAGATTTGAACTCAAAGTTGTTCTTGTCAGTTCTCTTTGATCTTGCTCCTCTTAATAGGCTAGCTATGTGGATGGCTAAAATGAGAAGAGACAAGAGTCATCACTAGTTCAAAAACACATCCACAAGGTGAAGTGCCCTTTATGCAGTGCATGTTGTGCAATTGCCTTAGTTTGCCCCTTAATCGTCAGATATTTTTTAAATGACCAAGCATACAATTGTAATACAAAACAGAAAAAACTGAATACGGTGTGCATTAAGTCTAATAAAACAATTATTTTGAATCGGTTAGTGTGTCTATACATCTGTGTTCCTCTTATCTGTGTCCAGGTTGTTCAGATTGTTGTATACATTAACCAAGTGGATCCTTAATTCTTATCTTTTGCTCATAGAAATTATGTTCTAATTTGAAAAAAAAATCACCCAATGCTCTCACCCCCCAAGCCCACTTTCATTTTGAACATGTCACTTCCTCTCTATAGCGCAGCTAGTTTAAAGCAACATTAAAATACTTTTTAGATGGGAATATACCAGAGCAGGACATAAGCAGACTACCAAAAATGAGAAGGATCAAGAGAGGATGATGAAGATAAACGAACCTTGTTTATCTCTACAGCACAACCTTGTGGAAATAGTTCTCGTTAACCGTTACCAGAATATTCTTTACAGGAAACAAACCGGTCAAACTTTCCATACCAGTGAAACTTTGTGACTTTGCTGCTGTGAAGAAACCTAATTTAATATTAAATGGTTATTCTAAACCTATTTCACTATTAGATTTTTTAGGCTAACAATGCCTTATTTTAGTTTAGATCCATGTCCAAAATGGGGACAGGTCTACCCTGTTACCGTTATAGAGACGTTAACAGTTATTTAACAGCTGGATTCTGACTGGTTTCCAACCCTGTCACTTCTGTTTAATTGCTGCAGTTAACCCTTAAATCTTAACACTAGCATATGGCCTGCTTTAAAAGAAGATAACTACAGCTAACTTCCCATATACCCAATAGAAAAAATACGAGTTAACTATTTGGTATTCTAATGAAACCAGAACGCATATTAAAGAGTATTAATTCCAGAGAATACCAGCCACATGATAGAAAACACTTTAAATAATTCATTTTACAAGTAATATGAACTATTCACAGCACAACTTACATAAATATGTATCTGGCATAGCAGTAAAATCAGAGCTTAAAACATTGTACGCTGTCACTATCTCCTGCTAAGGCCAATCACATGGTGAAGGATGTATACTCAGGGTCAGTCTTTTTTCCAGCAAGACAAGGGTGTTATGGTGTCATTTTACAAAGTGTGTACCTGTGCTTTACCAGGGAGTGGCTAATAGGTTATTATCAACAGCTTAACCCAGCTCTTTACCATCAAGGCTTGAAACAAGCCCAATGAGAGGAAATAGTAAAAATGAAAACTTTGTCAGACATGTATAAAGTCCTTTATTCTAAGTTCATCAGCAATGTAAAACACAATTTTTGAAAGTTGTACTCATTAAGTCAAAATCATGTGCACGCACGATTTAAAGGGACACCGTAGGCACTTTAACAACTTCATTTTATTGAAGCTGTTAAAGTGCCTGCAGTCCTGCCCCCCTCTCCTACTCCCTGAAACCCTTTAGTTCACTAATTAAAAGGGCTTAGAAGAATTGTTTAAAGCCCTCTGGATATGAGACTTGGGACACTTACTTCTTGGTTCTTACTCCATGGCATACTGTGATGTCATGTGTGCATGTACAATGCCATCACAGCCAACCATAGAGTTTAAAGATTCTCTATTGCAGAATCTTAGACGCATCAAGACAAGCGCCACGCATGTGCCTAAGTTCCCAATGCGCCAATATATTATAGGGTTTTCTTATGATATGTATGCACAGCATAACATTACATAGGAATAAAATATTTAATAAATAGAAAACATTTTGGTCTGCTGAGACTTTAACTGTAATAGCAGTCATGTAATCTAAAACCTTTAAACAAAGGTATGTATTTGATATTGTAACAAGTAGAGCCTCTAGTGCAGGGGTAGGCAGCCTTTATCTCTCCTGATGTTGTCTACTACACTTCCAATAATGCTTTCACATCCATAATGCTGTCAAAGCTTCAGGAAATTTGTAATCCACAACAGCTAGAGTGCCAAATGTTGTCTATTCCTGTTCTAAAGTATTTGACTTAGAGCATTTTGACACTTTTCATTTCAGCATTTTATCACCAACCTCTGCCAAATCTGAAGGGTATATTTATTCCTTTGTACTTTTCACATGAGTTTCATATTAGTGGGGAATTTCATAGACTGCGTCCCGTTACTATAAAGACCCCAGATTTATATTTTGCTGCTTCTCCCAAGTACAGCAATATGAAAATTCATTGTTTTAAATGACAGAAATGCCAAGTTTAACCAATTCATTATTATTAGCCTATAATAGTAGTATAAAGGAATATAATTTGGGCTATTTAACAAAGAACAGTTTGACACTTGCCTGCTTCCTTTGCAAGCCCTATCCTTCTAACCCCGCCCAGACTTTATGTGGATGTCCAATCACAAACTTCCCAAAGAACCTCAATGAGAAGTCTTTGTAAGGCAGGTGCTCTGGGTATTTGCTGCCTCTTGAGTTTAGCGCCACTGAGCTAACCAAACCAGGAAGTAACAGGACCAGACGTCTGATTGACAGACATGTGGGAGTAATCAGGTTAATATATGAAAGTGCCAATTCCCATTGAAATCTGCAATGTTTATAAAATGAAAAAACTGACACACTATTCACACATAAAAGCAATTCAGCAAGCTAAATTGCTTTAGGTATGTGGAGTATTCTTTTACAAAAGATATGAAAAAGAAAACATATGTTAAAATAATTGGTTATCCCTACCTTAGTCATAATAAATAATTTGCCTGTAGAAAATGTTTAAGATATGCATTCTAAGTAGGATTATTATGAAAGGCTGCCCAGCTCCCCCTGTTCCCCACAGATTTTCTTTGGCCCCTACACCAATGCCTGGAACTCTCAACTAGACATTCCATTTGCATGTATACATTTTTATCTAGATCACTTTCTGTTTATAGCAAACAGATTTTGAAAGATGTCTTTCATGTGTGGCAAGCTTCTACCTCGTAGATGGTTTTAAAGACTATACAATAAACTGTAATATTCTTATTAATTGATATACAGGGAGAGTTACTGGAGCAAGCTCTCATTAGTCAGGCTCCACAGGTGGAGAAGCTTGTGGCCACGACGGCCCATGAGCGGATGACATGGTACCATGAAGACATCAACAGAAAAGATGCTGAACGTAAGCTGTACTCAGGAGCTCAGCCAGATGGCAAATTTCTGTAAGTTTACGAATGAACGAATGAGTATTTTATTTGTAGAGATGTCGCGAACCGTCCGCGAACTTCTCACGAACGGTTCGCCACGAGCTGTTCGTGGCGAACTCCGGTCAGCTGACACGTCCCGGCCAATCTCCAGCAGACCCTCCCTCCCAGACCCTCCTACTTCCTGGACAGCATCCATGTTGAAACCGGAGTTCGCCACGAACAGCTCGTGGCGAACGGTTCGCGACTTCCTGGAAACATGGATGCTGTCCAGGAAGTAGGAGGGTCTGGGAGGGAGGGTCTGCTGGAGATTGGCCGGGACGTGTCAGCTGACCGGAGTTCGCCACGGACGGTTCGCGACATCTCTATTTATTTGTTATTATGTTTTTAATTGCCTGGGGGAGACCTTATATCTATCCTTAGATGCCTGGAGCTTCTGGTGGTTGTAATAAAATCACTACATGTCATATTTGGCATAATGAGGGTATCTGTGATGTGATATCTGTCTGCCTATGAGTCTAATACAGGGGTGCCCAAGTGGTAGATCCCCAGATGTTTTAGAACTACAACTCCCATGATGCTTTGCATGCATTTAGAATGGCAAGGCATCATGGAAGTTGTAGTTTTCAAACATCTGGGGATCTACCTTTTGGGCACCCCTGGTCCAATAATTATTATAATATTTCTAATTAATACCTCTCTATCCATTTGTAGAATCAGAGGAAGAAAGGAAACAGGCACATTTGCCCTCTCGGTTGTGTACGGCAAAACTGTCTACCATTATAAGATTGAGCTTGACAAATCTGGAAAGCTTGCAATCCCAGAGGGAAGTAGGTTTGATACATTATGGCAGGTATGTTGTACTACTTGTATATCAGATCCATATTAATGGATCTGTAAACGCATTTTAAATGTGTTCTGTCATTTTTTCCTTGTTCATTTCACATTGTTTTTTATTTTTTCTGCGCAGTTACACTTCACTACAAACCCTAATTGTTTTTTTTTTAATTACTGTTAATTTCATACAACTTTTTTTTTTTTTACATTGTCCTTAATTTGCCCCACAATATGTTCCTTGGTCCAGATGCTCAAAACTGTATTCTAATTTACAGATATAATTTACTGAAAGATTTAGAAACCAACATTGCAATATCTTAGAATCATGATCTTATTCTCTCTTACCAATTGTCTTTTCAAACAAAGGTCTCGATTTCATTTGTTTGGATTACAATCGACACTAAGCGGAAAGAAGTGAAAACACTTTAAAATAGTTTTACTACTTACATTGGGTAGGGGGGGTCCAAAGTGCTCCTGTCACCATAACATTACAGTGCATGTTTTTTTGAAAAGCCTTTGGCCTCAATTTAGTTCCCGTGGATCAGCATTTCAAATTATGCCAATCTGTAAGAAAAACTTTTCAAATTACTTCTGTAGACATTCATTTGAAAGGTTTTTCTGACAGATTGTGATCATTTGCCTTGCTTCAATATTGGCGCTAAATTGATGAAGTCAGGATGTCTCACATCAATATTCAAGCTGAATACGAGCACAGTGTCACAATGATCACTGGAATGATGCACATAACGACTCAGCAACCTGACATTGTGGATGTGGGGTACAAATCAAACCATTATGAAATTTACATACAATGGGGACCTAGGAACTCCTGGCACCAATGGGGACCAGGGAACTCCTGGCACCATAAGCCCTACAGTGTGCTGTGGTCGTTTTTATGTATATATGGTGTGTTCTTTTAAGATAAAAACTGTTTAAGAAGCCATTTTCACTGAATTGATTATGGATTTTTATTTTTGTCATAAATGGTATTTATTGACACATTAAAGGCTTCCAAATGACACATTGTAATTTTTGTTACTAATCACTGTAAGAGACACTATATAACTGCAAAACTATCAACTAATATATAATGGTACAAAGTGGAGACTTCAATTATGAAACCAAAAAAAGCACTTAGTTATGTGTTCCCTTCCTTTTCTCTTTTACATAGCTTGTGGAATACCTAAAACTCAAGTCCGATGGGATTATAACTGTTTTAACAGAGTCCTGCTCTAATGGCAAATCACCTATTTGTAAGTCAACACACTAACATGCTGCTAAATTCAGTATTCTTTTTTAGAATCTAAATGAACTGATGAGTAATCTGTGCCCTTTGTAAACAATGCAAAATTTCAAAGTGTTACTCCAAGCACCATTACCACTTCATTAATTTGAAGTGGTCATGGTGTCTGGATTCTGTATGTGTAATTTTTGTATGTGCAGAGATTAACTTCTTCACTGACAGAGGTTTCAGTCAACTCCTCAGTCTTTCCTCCCTGACATGTGACATCAGAGTAATATCAGCTAAGGAGGATCGGCTAAGGAAAAAGCAAAGATAAGTTTTACCTTTTTTTTCTGTGTTTTTTTTTTTGGTGGGGGGAAGGGGTGGGAGGCGCAGACCAGAACAGAAGGGGTTACTACAACAAAACCACTGTTTTACGAAAATACTGTTTTTTGGTTGGAGTAACCCTTTAATTATTTTTCCATTATCATTATACCAAGTTTTATTGCATCGTTTACAGGGCCATCCAGTCTGCTAGGAGTAATTAAAGGGAAACTATAGTGCCAGGAAAACAACTTGATTTCCTGGCACTATAGCTTCCCCTTTGTCAAGGCCCCCCCCCGTGGTGCAGAAGGGTTTAATAACCCCTTCTGTCACTTACCTGGGTCCAGCGCCGATGTCCTTTGGCACTGACTAAGCTCTGCCCATGCTCCTCCCCTGCTGACTTCCTCCGGCAGGGGAGAACTAATGCAAATGTGCAGCCATTGGATGGGATCCCCCCATCGGATAGCATAGCGGAGTGAGGACGTCCAGCGTCGTTTAGACAACCAAAAGTCATCTAAGCACCTGGAAGTCCCTCTAGTGGCTGTCTGGTAGACAGCCACTAGAGGAGGAGTTAACCCTAGCAGGTAATTATTGCAGCTTATAAAAACTGCAATAATTACATGCTCAGGGTTAAGAGTGATTTATAATTGGAGTTTGCACACAGACCACGTCAATGGGCTGAAGTGGTATGGGTGCCTACAGTGTCCCTTTAATTCAAATAACATTTGCAGGTGTGCTTCTCCATGAGTTTCGTTGTATGGCTGTATTTTGGGGGTGTTTTTGCTTGTTGTAGCAGGTGGAGGTATTATATTTCTAATTTTAAAATGTTAATGTACAAATGATACCATTCAATTTTTAAATATTTTTTTTATCTTTTTTTGCTTTTTAGCTGCCCTTCCGCCCACCCTTCCGGGAAATGTAAGTAAACTTGTGGTGATCCAAACTGTTGACTGTTTAAGATATAGATATATACATATTAGCAAATTAGAAAAAGGGTGCACTCACAGGTCTTTCCATAAATTCAATGGTGTTTATAGGTAATAAACATCATTAAATTTATAGAAAGACCTGTGAGTGCACCCTTTTTCTAATTTGGTATATATTTCATATATGTGGGATTTTACCAAGGCATTGTATCTGGAAATTATGGACTAATGGGTGAGCGCTAAGCTACTTGTGTTTAGATACATATATGTATATGTATATATATGGTTCAAACATGATTCATTGTAAAAATGAGCAGCTCGCTGGCATATAACTGGTCTTATTCAAGGAACTGGAAAATAATGTAATGATAATAATGCATATTTGTTACCTATTCTTTTCTATCAGAGACAATTCCTAACCAGCAGAGATTACACTCCGGAACCTTCCCAAGGTGAGAACATAAGGAACATCGAGAAAAAAACAAAAACCCAAAGGAGTAAAATGCATATCAAACTAAACAAAACAGTCCGATGGTGAAACCACCACAACTAGATATAGTATAGCATACAAGTACATAGCCAAAAGTTAAATAAATCTAAATGAAAATACTAGTCAAAATATATAATGTGCGTGTATATACAGTGAGGGAAAAAGTATTTGATCCCCTGCTGATTTTGAACGTTTGCCCACTGACAAAGAAATGATCAGTCTATAATTGTAATGGTAGGTGTATTTTAACAGTGAGAGACTGAATAACAAACAAAAAATCCAGAAAAACACATGTCAAAAAAAGTTATAAATTTATTTGCATGTCAATGAATGAAATAAATATTTGATCCCCTATCAATCAGCAAGATTTCTGGCTCCCAGGTGTCTTTTATACATGTAATGATCTTAGATTAGGAGCACTCTCTTAAAGGGAGTGCACCTAATCTCAGCTTGTTACATGTATAAAAGACACCTGTCCACAGAAACAATCAATCAGAAACAATCAATCAATCACTCAATCAGATTCCAAACTTTCCACCATGAACAAGACCAAAGAGCTGTCCAAGGATGTCAGGGACAAGATTGTAGACCTACACAAGGCTGGAATGGGCTACAAGACTATCGCCAAACAGCTTGGTGAGAAAGTGACAACAGTTGGTGCGATTATTCGCAAATGGAAGAAACACAAAATAACTGTCAGTCTCCCTCGGTGCTCAATGCAGTCTCCCTCGGTCCTCATGGAGTTTCAATGATCATGAGAACGGTGAGGAATCAGCCCAGAACTACACGGGAGGATCTTGTTAATGATCTCAAGGCAGCTGGCAGAAAACAATTGGTAACACACTAAGCCGTAAAGCACTGAAATCCTTCAGCGCCCGTAAGGTACCCATGATCAAGAAAGCACATGTACAGGCCCATCTGAAGTTTGCCAATGAACATCTGAATGATTCAGAGAACTGGGTGAAAGTGTTGTGGTCAGATGAGACCAAAATCAAGCTCTTTGGCATCAACTCAACTTGCCATGTTTGGAAGAGGAGGAATGCTGCCTATGACCCCAAGAACACAATCCAACATCAAACATGATGGTGGAAACATTATGCTTTGGGGGTGTTTTTCTGCTAAGGGGACAGGACAACTGCACCGCATCAAAGTGACAATGGACGGGGCCGTGTACCATCAAATCTTGGGTGAGAACCTCCTTCCCTCAACCTGGGCATTGAAAATGGGTCGTGGATGGGTATTCCAGCATGACAATGACCCAAAACACACAGCCAAGGCAATAAAGATTGTGACTCAAGAAGAAGCACATTAAAATCTGTGGAGGGAGCTGAAGGTTCGAGTTGCCAAACATCAGCCTTGAAACCTTAATGACTTGGAGAAGATCTGCAAAGAAGAGTGGGACAAAATCCCTCCTGAGATGTGTGCAAACCTGGTGGCCAACTGCAAGAAATGTCTGACCTCTGTGATTGCCAACAAGGGTTTTGACACCAAGTACTAAGTCGAAGGGGTCAAATACTTATTTCACTCATTGACATGCATATCAATTTATAACTTTTTTTTTTTTAAATTGAAATAATAAGAGGCAAAAATACACTTTGTAAAGGTTTAGTCATTATCACATGAACAATTCTGAACTAAAATTTGCTCCTGAAGGATATACTATAATCATCTTCTATTAATGCTTAAGTATGGTGGTTAAAAGTGTGCATCGTATTGGAACAGTAAACATGGTGCTTAATGGCTAAATTATTTTACAAATGTATGTATTTTTGAAATTTATTTTCTAATTCTTTATGTTTGACAGACAAGTTTGGTATGCCACAGCTGCAAATACAGGCCTTTCTATAGGCATAGTTGTGTGGCATGCAATAGAACTGCACATTTTTAAGTAATCAACATGTCAATACAAGTAATGTCAGATACTGAGAGTGCAGTAAGAGTAAGTGAAACATACTATATAGGATGACATGAATGTGGTCAAAGAAAAAAAAAAAGTAACAAGCTAAACAGTGGTTAGTTATGTAGCATAGTAGCTGCTGGGTACTATTCTCTTTGTCTGAACATGTTTGATGAACAGGTTATAAGTTGCTGGTAAACTAGCATGCCCATTCTGAGCTAAGATATATCTAAATCTGCAATACAAATATTTACTACATAGGCTGGTGTGGCCTGGGTCCTAGGCTTCCAAAGGGAAGGATCCCACATGGGCTAATCTGGCTATGTCAATAAAAAGAAATCTGAGGGGCACATGAACTCAAAACAGAACAATAAAAATACAAATCGGAGGTATTACTCACGGATAGTGATGTCCCGAACAGTTCGCCGAACGGTTCGCGAACGGTTCGCTGCGGACTCCAGTCAGCAGACACATTCCAGCCAATCAGCAGCAGACCCTCCCTCCCAGACCCTCTCACCTCCTGGACAGCTCACTAAGAATGCAGCTTCAAAATGGATGCTGTCCAGGAGGTGTGAGGGTCTGGGTCTGCTGCTGATTGGCTGGAATGTGTCTGCTGACTGGAGTCCACGGCGAACCGTTCATGGCGAACCGTTCGCGAACCGTTCGGGATATCACTTTAGTGGAGTGCTGTTGTGCAGTGGGTCAGCTAGTTGGCACATAAAGGTGGTAGGCCAAGGCAGGTCTCAGTGGATTTTCTTACAGGACTGGGGCTTCAGAGCATCTAATTTTTTCCAGTGCGGGAAGCAGTGTAAGGCCCTACATCTGCGTCGCAGATGTGGTCTTTGATGGCGGTGTCTGACTGCCCTCCGTCTGCGGGTACGATGTGCTAGAGCCAGACTCCCATTTTCTCTATGCCCAAGCAGAGGTATGCGTTTAGTTGCTGCAATGGAGGAAATCACCTTGCCCAACTGTGGTCTCTTCTGCTCCTGTCCGGGTAGCCTCCAGACCTCCCATGATGACCGAGCGGCTGGTGCCACCATTCTCGAGCGCACCTCCAGTTTTGCCCAGAAGAGCTTAAAGATAGCATCCAGTGTAGCAATGGATTTTAGAGATGAGTGTGTCAATTGAACTTGGTCCTGCAGAGCTAAAACATGTGAGTCTTCCCTCTTGTGTAGCCAGGCCCGGATCAGGGGTGTAGCAGGTCTCGCAAGTTTGCCTCTCTGCCCTGCCCCCTTCTTAGTAGGCCGCTGTGATAAAAAAATGCCCGGGCCGAATTTTTCTCCCAGTCCGGCCCTGGGGAGAACAGTGTATTCAATTGTGGGGAGGGAGGGCAGTGTATTGAATTGAGAGGAGGTGGCAGTGTATTTTAATTGTGGGGAGGGAGGGAAGTGTATTAAATTGTAGGAAGGGAGGCAGTGTATTATATTGGGAGGGGGAGGGCAGTGAACGAAGATGGGAGGAGGGGGGCATTGTATTAAATTGTGGGGAGGGAGGGCAGTATATTAAATTGTGGGGGGAGCAGTGTATTAAATTGGGAGAAGAGGGTCAGTATAGTAAATTGGAGGGAGGGAGGGGGGCAGTGTATTAAATTGGGGGAGAGAATGGGAAGGCATTATATTAAATTGGGGGGAGGGAGGAAGGGAGGGTGGACAGTTTATCAAATTGGGGGGAGGGAAGGTGAGGGCAGTGTATTAGATTGTATGCTGTCGGGCTGGTATGCTGGTTTTCATTCCCAGTCCGGCCCTGATTCAGTCACACACTTATGTTCCTATAATTTATTTAATTTCACTTTATTTTGGGAGTGTGTATCCTATCTTCATGACCATGATTGTAGATGTGTCACAAAGAGGAAAAAAAGCAATTATAACCATAAACACACCACACGTAATCAAAATGCAGCGCTTGTAAATGCAAGTTTAAAACCAATACATGGGAGGCTAAACTGTAACAGCTAAACAGAGAGAACATATAGAAATGTGATAAGTAGAAAAAAGCATGTGTGAATATCGTACATCAACTCATGAGCCATATAGAATCAGGATGGAGAAGTTGAATTAACCTATACCCTAGTCCAAGCATAGGCAACCTTCGGCACTCCAAACGTTTTGGACTACACCTCCTATAATGCCAGCATTATGGGTGTAAGAACATTATGGGGGATGTAGTCCACAACATCTGGATTGCCGAAGGTTGCCTATCCCTGCCCTAGTCCATACGTACCGTACTTTTCTTAACACAGATTTTTCTGCTAAATAAAAAGCTACAATTCACTAACAAATTTCTCATCCCATTGATTTAAAGGGAATGCCAGAATCCTACCAATGGACACCAAAGTGTATGAGAGTCCTTATAGTGATCCAGAGGAGCTTAAAGAGCGCAAGCTTTTCCTGAAGAGAGATCAGCTTTTAATAGATGAAGTAGAGCTGGGCGCAGGGAATTTTGGATCTGTCAAGAAAGGTGTATACAAGATGAAAAGGTAAGAGTGCGTATATATACATTTTCTTTTTTGATTTTTGTCTATTTACATGTGAAGGTCTTGTATTTACCTTCAAGTTAAAAAAAAATATTTTTATAGGTCATTTGACCTATTTTTTAAAAGGTCGTCATATTGTAAATCCATCTCTGATTTAAATATATACATACAAATAATTATTTATACACAATAGAAAGGAATTTTATACACAGGTCTGTCAAATGTCTTGAGTGGCACTCAGTCAGTAAGTTTCCACCGAACTTCTGTTTAAACTTTCTGAGCTCCAACAAGGGTATTTTGATATAGTTCATATCCTCTTGAAGACCCATGGGAGCTGATGTCTTTCTATTGTTTGACGTTGTCAGCATTAATGTTTCATACTGGGCTATAGAATACAATGGAACTAACTAGTGTGTATGTATCGTGTATATAAATATATATTTATTTGTAGTTGGGGACAATAAGCCGAGTTATAGTAGGGGTATAAGTCGGTTGGGGTGTGTAAAAGAGGGCAAAAAGTTAACAGTTTAATCTTTAATACCTGTTGACATTACATAACCAGTACTTTAAATGCCTGTCTCAGTTCCCTCTTCTTTTGAGGGAAATCTGGTGTATGCAGACAATTCCAATGTCCCAGTTTATGATCTGTGCTGGGATGTTTACTAAAGGCTGCAGAAGCAGTGCTTATTCTAAAAGAATGACATGAGTATGTTAAAGGGTCGTATCAGAGTTTTATGAATTGTGTCCTGACGTACTGGATGAATTTGATGTAGTGAGTGGTTACCGTGTAACCTTAAAAGAGAGTATATGCCTGTGTAGTCCTTTGAGTGTCGGACAATTGGTCTAGTATGTTGACCTGGCACCATTTATTGTTGATAGTATGTAGGTATATGTCTGCAGATGGGGTGGGTATGAGATACGTTTAAAGGGACACTCCAGTGCCAGGAAAGCAAATCGTTTTCCTGGCACTGCAGGTCCCCTCTCCCTCCCACCACCCATACCATGTTGCTGAAGGGGTGAGAACCCCTTCAGTGACTTACCTGAGACCACCGCCGATGTCCCTCCCTGGTTTCGGGTCCGCCCTTGCTCCACGCGCGTATTAGACCTCTTCATAGGAAAGCATTGAAAATGCTTTCCTATGGGGAACTGAGCGACGCTGAAGGTCCTCACAAAACCTGTGCTAGAAACCAGGAAGTGCCCTCTAGTGGCTGTCTATTAGACAGCCACTAGAGGAGGAGTTAACCCTGCAATGTAATTATTGCAGTTTATGAAAACTGCAATAATTACAGCTGCAGGGTTAAGGGTAGTGGGAGTTGGCACCTAGACCACTCCAATGGGCAGAACTGGTCTGGAGTGTCCCTTTAAGTGTTTGTTAGCTAATTTAAGGTTGAGGTGGCAAAAGGATGTGAATGTCACATCGATGGAGTAAGGATTGACAATTCGATTTTTGGAAGTGAACTTATTAAATGGAGAGAGTTCTGGTATATAAATGATTGGTATAAACAGAGAGAGCCACGTGTGCCAGCAATCTACCATGACCATGAGATGAGCTAATCCAGAATGAGGTCCTGGAATGTAGGAGTTTTAGCATGTGGTTAAGAAGCCATGGAATGTTTGGAGGAATACCTGAAATGGAATTGAGACAAGGCTTCAACTGCTATGTTGTGACTGGCTGGTATGTGTATGCAGACAATGTAAAATTGCTGTGTTGCTGAGTTTGATTAGTAATTGACAGACTTCCTCCCCCAAAGGGATCCCTAGGCTTGTGCTGTGGCGTATACTGTAATATATGCAATATTTATGTAATATGCATTTTGATTTACATATGTCTGTATATCTATGCTTATCCAAAATGTCACATGTTTTACACATTTGCTAATTGTCTCTTTTAATATAATTTAGAAATTATATTCAGGAGTTTTCTCTGTGGTACACTTTTTGTTTTTAATCTTCTTGCATCTTTCAATAAAATGCAATTTTTCAGGCGCCATATTGATGTAGCCATTAAAGTGCTAAAAATGCAGAATGGTAACGAAGCTGCAATAGAAAAAGAAATGATGAAGGAAGCAGAGATAATGTATCAACTGAACAACCCATACATTGTGAGGATGATAGGGGTTTGCCAGGTAGAATCTCTAATGCTTGTCATGGAGATGGCAGCAGCGGGGCCCCTCAACAAATTCTTATCATCTAAAAAGTAAGTAAAGGGCATTAATTAAATGACTACTGTCAAAGTTCCAGTTTTTTTTTTTTACTTTTATTACATTTAATGAAACTTAGAATTATTTTTGTTTTTTAAATGATGTATATAATTTTTTTGTCATTGCTCTGTGTGACCTGCATCAGCAGCCACTTAGGTTTGAGCAGTAGTTAGTCAGATAATAGAAGAATCTGACCCAACATGGTTGCTCAGCCAAAAAGTGAAGTTTTCTGAAAGAATTAAAAAAAAAAATCATTATACATCATTAAAAATAAAAAATAAAAATCAAGTTTCACCAAATGTAATGGCTTTTGAATTTTTTTTTTAAAATAAACATTTGACGACAATTGTTAATTAGGGCTCGCTTCATTTGTTGAGACTACTTATTATTGCATGGAATCCATTTTGTCTATTTACAAAAACAACTTATGTTAGAATTTTTTATTTTTTTTTACTAAAGTGTGAATTAAAGATGATTTAAAGTACACATATCATCCCTAGTATGTCATTGTGTCACTTCATAGAGAATACAATTGTATCTAAGCACACTAAGGTGTACCTAGCATGGTTGGCACTTGGACCCAAATTTCTGGTTTGAGCTTTAAAGGTGACACTTTAAGCAGAATTTACAGTAGGACTTATTGTAGTGGTCAAAGGGTAATGAGGTTATGAAATGAGTAGTCATTCCATTTTTTTTCTCAAAAAAGCCACTCTGTTTTACCCAAAAAAGCCACACTGGGACAATTAATTTCCTCATTATCTGTTCAAAATATTTGTACAAGGTATACCAGGGGTCAAGTGCACAGAATTAATGCAGTATTTCTAGACCAATTGCTGATAATGCTTTTCTTTGCCATTTTATTTGTGTGCTATGTGTTTGTGTGTGAATGAAGATAGATTGTGTGCAGTGTATATGAATGTAGATGAATGTAAATGTGTATTTGAGTGTTGTAAATGCATTTTTGTTCTTCCTGATCTCCACATCTTCCCTCACTACTATATGGCTCTTCCATCCCTCTGTTGTGCATATTTATCCCACTTCTTCCTATGTTCTTCCTCTGTCTCTATCTCATAACCACCTTTGTCTCTCTCCCTCTTTTCTCCCACCAACCTCTATCCTTCACCTCTCCCCGACTTGTGTCTCCTTCCTTTATCTCTTTCCCATTTGTGTCACCCGGCCCTATCTCCCCCATATGTGTATATCCCTTCTTTCCTCATTTTGGTGCTTTTCGTGGTGCCTTTACCCTACCAGTCCCTGGTCCCATATGAACCTCAGGTATGTCTCCAATCTCCCTTAATTTTTTTTCTCCAACTTTCTCCACATCCTCAACATGTCTCTCTAATCCCTCCATATCCCTCTTGAATCAATGAATCGCACCAGTCCCTCATCATTCTCTCTAATACCTCTTGTCCCAATGTAATGTCCTTCATCCTCATCTATTCCTACCTGTCCTTGTGACTACAATGTCCAAATGCATTTATTTTTGCCAAGTCTCTCCAGTGCAGCTCTCATGCCAGTGAGTGCTGCAAGAGATGAGAGAGCGGTGGGTATATTATGCTGCCATGTCCCCACCACTTCCATATCATTGCTACTTCAGTGAAAATACTGGGCATAACATTAAACATTTCTCTGTTCAGTCACCCCATGAGAGTATAGCCTTCCCGGGAGCACCCCCTTCTCTACTGTCCCTCAAGGTAGACCACTGCCCGCTTTCCTTAGTGCGTCCCGCATTGCACCTGTAAAATTGCTCCTGCTTTTCTGATTTTTTTTTTATTGTGGTAAAGGTAAAAAAACAAGCTTTGTTTTGTGATTGTATGCACAACCTACCTCCACTTGGAGGGTGCCATGATTATGTGGGTACAGTTCCATGGTTTTTGGCACCCAGAGCTGACCCCTCCTTAGCCTTATCAGTCTAAGCCTATCAGTACACTTTAGGTTGTATGTAATGGATATCGATAACTCAAAATTGGTCTGTATTATCAGTGTGACGGAGGAATGGGCAGTCTCTATGTGATGTAAAAAGCCCAGGTTTTTGTCAAATTCCTCCTAAATGGTTTGTCAAAAAACCTAGGAACACATTTTATGACTCCTCATGGGTTACCTTGCTTAGTCGTTCCTTTTAAGTCAGACTTTTATCATGTTACACACGATGTTATACTAAACATAGAACAAATATGGTCCAGGCAACAGTCAAGCAGTTTTATTGGAAAAATAAGTGCTCTTCTTTGCACTTTTTGTTCTTTTTCTAAAAAACTGCTTGACTATTGATCTGGAGTGCCTGGACCATATTTGTTCTATGACTGTTGTATTGGTGTTTGCCAGCCCTAGTCTGGTGCACCTGGATCATTATATAAGGGTTGGGTCTCCTTTGTTTCTGTGAGTTATAATAAATATAACATGTAAGGGTCAAGGTTAAAAAAATAAGCTTAGCGGTTATTGGCAACATAGGCAAATAGTGGGGATCAATGGTTTCAACAGACTTTTATAACATTCCATTTTGTATTTCTGCAGGGAGGAGATATCGATCAGTAATGTCACAGAACTTATGCACCAGGTGTCCATTGGAATGAAATACCTAGAAGAGCATAACTTTGTGCATCGGGACCTTGCAGCTCGTAATGTTCTTCTGGTTAATCAGCATTATGCTAAGATCAGTGATTTTGGTCTTTCTAAAGCTCTGGCTCCAGATGACAGCTACTATACGGTAACTATGATGCGATGCTGGAATAAATAAGTAAAAAATAATGCATTGAATCCCAGCAGCTGGTAAGATAGCTCAGTGGGCTAATGCATCATCAGTAGAATCTGTTCAAATCCTGGCAGGGTTAAGTCAGCCCTTCATCCTTCTGAGGTAGATAAAATGAGTATTGTTAAATTGGGTAATAGTAACAACCCCTGGATGTTGGGCTAAGGTAACATCCCCAGGACAGAGTAATTTGAAAACCAGAGTAATTCCAATATACCTTTCCTGGTTAAATACTTTGTTACTATTATATGGAATTTATAGCTAGGTGCCAAAAAGTTGCAGTGATCCGGACACAATAAAACTATCCACAATTTGATGCAGATTCAAAAATTACTGCTGCGCATCACCTGCACAACTTATCTGGCTCCTACCTATAAACAACCAGTGAGACTTAAGCTTCTAGACCAGTAATGGCTCTATGCTGTACGTACCATGGCTGTCAGGATCCTCATCAAAATGTCAGACAAAAACCTACAAATGGCACAGTATGAAAGATAGAAAGTCAAATTACTCGACTGAGCTCCATGGCAGAAATGTCTGTGGAGCATCACAGTATATTTTATTCACTAAGCTATGACTTATAATAAAATTTAGACAAACATAGCTGGTTTAGAGAATGCCTCAACTTCTCAACTATTTCAGCTGTTATTTTCCAATTTGGTTTTTAAGATGCTACAATTTGGACTTTAGTAACTATTCCTAAGTGGAGATGTATTTAGGTTTTGTGCTGCTCTATGCCTTACGAACTCCACACATCCCCCCATAACATTCAATATGAACATAACATATATTGCAAGATAGCTAACCGTAACTCTTGGGGTGTTTGGGAACACTGTTCTCATGATCTTCAGATAGCATAGGCTACCTAAATTTCGTGGGCTAACTTTTAACCCATCTCAAAACAACAGCACATGGAGAGACAAAATAATATAAGAACAGCCAGGTGCAAACCATATAAACACTCCCTCAAGTGCTTTAAATATTCAAATGTATATAGAATATAGAATGCACACTATAACAATCTCAAAAAATTTAGCTTTATTATGTACAAAAAAGTACCAGAGTGAAAACATATAAGAAAAAGTAAACAAAGTGACAGAAGCAAGTGCAAATACAATAAAATAATAATAAATTACCACAAAAATTCTTACAAGCCTCAAGACAGAAACACGAGTCACCAAACCCCCCAACGTTTCGGCACCAACTGGCTGCCTTTATCAAGGGCACCTAACTTTTAACCCAGCAATGTGAGAACAGTAGTTTTCAAACATCTGAGGTGGTGATAATAGGCACATGTAAATTAAATGCTAAAAAGGCAAACTGCTATGTGTATATTTCCTCTAATTAAAATGTTGCCTTTGAGAAAAATAATGAAATTCTATAGTGAGTATACACACACAGACAATCTCTTTGACACAAACACATAATCTCATTGGCACACACAGACGAGGTTATGGACATACATAGACAAGTTTGCTGACATGAAATCTTACTGCCAAAAAAACAAGTTCAGTAACACACAGGTTTACTACAGACAAGCTCCATCACACAAATATATACACACACCAGCTCACTAAAGACACGTAAACTGAAACACACAATCTAGGCAACACACAATTTAAGGCGGGACAGGACCCAAACATCTGGGCTGTCCTGCTAAAATCAGGACTGTTTGAAGGCATGTCTCCTCCGTTCCAAGATTTTTTTCAGAGAGCTGTTTAAATAGCCCTGTATATATGTGTTCAGTGTTATCATTGGCATATACCATTGAACATATTCAAAACTGTTACATAGTTACATACATAGTTACATAGTTACATGGCTGAAAAGAGACTTGCGTCCATCAAGTTCAGCCTTCCTCACATTTGTTTTTTGCTGTTGATCCAAAAGAAGGCAAAAAAAAACCAGTTTGAAGCACAATTTTGCAACAAGCTAGGAAAAAAATACCTTCTTGACCCCAGAATGGCAGTCAGATTAATCCTTGGATCAAGCAGTTATTACCCTACATTGAAAGATTATATCTTTGAATATTCTGTTTTTGCAAGTATGCATCTAGTAGCTGTTTGAACATCTGTATGGACTCTGATAAAACCACTTCTTCAGGCAGAGAATTCCACATCCTGATTGTTCTTACTGTAAAAAAACCTTTCTTTTGCCTTAGACGAAATCTTCTTTCTTCCAGTCTAAACGCATGACCTCGTGTCTTATGTAAAGTCCGGTTTGTGAATAGATTTCCACACAATGATTTGTATTGGCCCCGAATATATTTGTATAATGTTATCATATCCCCTCTCAGGCGATGTTTTTCTAAACTAAATAGGTTTAATTTGTTAACCTTTCATCATAGCTGAAAGGTTCAATTTCTTTTATTAATTTTGTAGCCCACCTCTGCACTTTTTCTAGTGCCATAATATCCTTCTTTAAAACAGGTGCCCAAAATTGCACAGCATATTCAACATGTGGTCTTACCAGTGATTTATAAAGAGGCAAAATGATATTCTCGACCCGAGAATGAATGCCCCTTTTCATGCATGACAATACCTTACTGGCCTTAGCCACTGCTGATTGACATTGCACATTGTTGCATAGCTTGTTGTCTATAACAATTCCCAAGTCCTTTTCGTGTGTTGTTATCCCTAATTCGCTTCCATTAAGGGTATACGTTGCTTGTGTATTCTGTTCTGCATTATCAGTTTGGCTGAGGAAAGGTTTAAAGATGAAGACTTTTTTTGTGACCAAGCCTTTTTGGTACTACTGCAATGCAATATACATATTATATATATATTTTCTAAAGTTTACACAGTACAGACAGCCCCAAGAAGAGCTATGTGTAGCAATCAAAGTGAGCATTCCTCATTAAATTTAAATTAATTTAAGTCCTTTAAATTAATTTAAATACTGTGTAAATTGTCATTGTCTCCCACACCCATCTAGTTTTCATCCCCATGTCAGGGAGACTCCCAGGGTATAAAAATATTCTGGGGAAGTCTCCATGGTTGCATCTTGGTCCTGGATCGGTGCTGGGCAATTGGCAAAGCTACTTACAACATATGAAATTCAAGAACTGACTGTTCACTTGCTGCCCAATATTTCCAACCCCTTGACATTTGCCTTTGTAATGATATAATTGAGTTTATTCACTTCACCTGTCAGTGGCTTTAATGTTGTGGCCGATCAGTGTGTGGTTCATAATTTCCACTCACCACCCGTGGAGTGCATACTATGGCTTTTGGTGGGGAGTAACTTTTAAGACTTGACTAGTAGCATAGGATTAAAAATTATAGTATATAATTATACATATATTATATATATAATGCACATTTAAATAATTCAAACTTGAATCCTTCTTATATTTCAGGCTCGGACCGGTGGTAAGTGGCCTCTGAAATGGTATGCCCCAGAGAGCATCACTCACCGCAAATTTTCCAGTAGAACCGATGTGTGGAGCTATGGTGTAACCATGTGGGAAGCATATAGCTATGGACAAAAACCATACAAGGTGAGGATGAACAAAACAAACAGGTATAGCAGCATAAGATGATTTTGGGGTACAGTGGAAGGTTCACGTAGAACTTAACCATGTCTTACATCTTTGTGATCTAGAAACTCAAAGGTACCGAAGTATTGGATTTCATTAACAGAGGTGAGCGTCTGCCTTGTCCCGCAAACTGCCCCAAGGAAATGTATCAACTCATGCTTGACTGCTGGATATTCACGTAAGAAACATTTTATTTAACATAACCTATGACCATCCATCTCTTCAAAAAGTGTCAATCAATAATTTGTCCAGCTAGCTATCCCTTTGTTTAGTTATTATGAAAGGAAGGACTATGGGGCCACCTAGTGTGGTGTGTTCATTATGACCTACCTTAAGAGTGTACCTAGGTTACTTAGCTCTCTGGGTGGTTATGGGAATTGGCAAATCTCCTTTATTAGGGAAATTACAAAAATACACACTCAAAACGAACACAGTGGTATGTGCTTGGCCCTGCCCCCTCAGACTGAACTTAGTGATCTGTGCATTATTCCTAGCCCCTCAGACTGAACACAGTGATTTGTGCATGTCTCCCTCCCCCCCCCCCGAGACTGAACGCAGTGATCTTTCCTCTCGATATGCCAAGAACAGTTTATATATGTTTACTTTTAGCTCCTTCTGCCCCCACCCCCTTCCAACCACACATAGGTCTTATAGATTTCACTGGTAATCAAGCAATCTAAATCCCTGTTAATATGGTGGTATGTTGAATTTCTTGGCACAAGCTTCTGTCTGTATCTTTCAGTGTCCTTTGTATTACATTAATCCATAGCCAATAACCAGGCTCTTGGACACGCACCCATGTATTACTATTATGTCCCCTATTTCCTAAAGGCAATAACACATTTAACCTACTGTAAAAAATGACTATATACTGTAGCCTAACTGTGTTTTGTATTATTATTACATATAGAGTATCTATTTTTTGCATCTTACGTGTCCCAAACCTGATTAAATTAATGCTATTATTAACTCTGTCTACAGGATGGCAGAACGTCCAAACTTTGAAAATGTGGAGTCTCGTATGCGACTTTATTACTACAGCATTGCTAAAGAAAATGAGGAAAAAGACAAAGATCCCGCTACAGAAAAAAAGAAGGAATGAAAATGATTTATTGTGGGCATTTTAATTTGGGGGCAATGGTTTAAAAATCTGTTTGCCTTTTATCCATCCTTTGTCCACTAGAGGTCAGTGTGCTTCAGTAATCTACAAAACAGACATTCTAATCGTGGATATGTCGGGAGACTTGAGCAATGGATAATACAAGATACGTCCTGGAATATATAAACAGATAAATAAATACAAACATTATTAATAACAAAATACATATAAATAAATCAATAAAAAGTCAGTACGGTTAATAGGTGACAAGTCACAATTCATGTCCCTCTTTGTTTATTATTTCTGCCTGTGAATTTAGAATTTAATTATTTCTGCTCTAGTAGTTGCTTTCTACTCAAGTATTTTAAAGTATAACATTACTGTGATATATTTACTTACATTATACACAACCTATTTTATAAATAAACCAACTGGATATTTTTGGAAAAATTGTCATTCTCATCTTGGTGTAAACCAGGGTTACCCAAAAGGTAGATCCCCAGATGTTGTAGAACTACAATTCCCATGATGCTTTGCATGATTTTAGAACGACAAATCATCACGGAAGCTGTAGTTTTAAAACATTTGGGCATCTACCTTTTGGGCACCCCTGGTTTGCTTTTTAGAAGCAGTTACTATATAAGACAAAGCAGGATATCTTTTTAAACTTTGGTCAGTGGGAGAGACCAAACAAATATTTTGACAGATTGGAAATTTAGTGATAAGATTCCAAAATAATTAATGTACATCGGTTTGCAAAAAGTTTGGGCACCCTTGACAAAATGGCATGTTGTGTTGATTTTCTGGGGTTTTCACATGCTCTTCATATTTCTCCATATTTTAAAGGGATACTAAAGACACCTGGACAACTTCGTCTAGATCAAGGGTTCTCAACCCAGTCCTCAGGACCCCCTACCAGTCCAGGATTTGGGGATTACCTGTGTGTGTCTCAGGTGTTTAGAAAAAGGGGGGGAAAAACACCTTAGACTCTAAGGTGTTTTTTTTTTCTTTTTCTAAATACCTTAGACACACCCAGGTAATTCCTAAACCCTGGACTGGTAGGGGGTCCTGAGGACTGGGTTGAGAACCCTTGATCTAGACGAAGTTGTCCAGACGAAGTTGAGAACCCCTGGTCTAGATGAAGTGTCCTGAGTCTATGGTCCTTTTATTCTTGCAACACAAAACATTAAAAAAATATTTTTTTTTATTTGAAACTGCGGTGTTTCCATTGCTGGGCTGAATCTATAGCTCTTGTGGTTGTTATACTAAGTTGAAGGAGTCAGCTTAGACAATTAAAGGGACACTATAGTCACCAGAACAACTATAACTTAATGTAGTTGTTATGGTGAGTATAGTATGTCCCTTCAGGCTTTTTAATTTAAACACTGCCTTTTCGGATAAAAAGCATTGTTTACATTGTTGCCTAGGCACACCTCAAGTGGCAGTCCTTTAATAGTGCTCCTTTAATGTTCTGTGACCTTTCAAAGAAATCACTTGTGGCTCAATTGAAAGGCTATTAAACTAGTGCTCATTCACTATTTATTTAAATTTTTTTACCATCAGGTTCCCCCTGAACACCTAGGGAAGGGAGAGCATGACTGATGTCCCTGGATTGGGGACTGGAATTAAAGGGATAAAATGTTTAAAGTTTGGGAAGAGGTTTAAGGATAGTAGGAGGGTTGGGACTTACTGCAGGAGCAGTAGACGGACCATGACTATCATTTCCATCTGCCCGAGATATGGTTAGGCTGTTTGTTTGGTGTCTGTCTCTTTTTATGTTGTCACAGCTTGTGGGATTCCTGGCCAACTCAGCCGCATTAAGGAATGAGACTCCGAGTCGGCCTGGGGAGTCTGAGTCTGGTTGTAGAAGGTTGTAGAAACTGTCTGGTAATCAATCAACAGCTGACAGGTGGCTAATTAAGTTATTGGCATGTTATTAATAAAACTGTGCCTATTGCCCTATCCACATAAATTTGTGTCTTGTGTTTTGTATGGGAGGCAGCGGATTGGTGGGATGGTATTACGCGTCAGCAGTCAAGTTCAATTCAGCAAAAAAAAAGAATAACTGTGCATTGAAATTTAAAGATATGTGTTGTGTTTGTTTGCTCACTGCAGAGTTTTGGGAAATAATTTTTACATAGAAAAATAAATAACATGTTATTGTGTCACAGTTTCCAAACTTGTACAAGTTCTCCAACTGTGTGGAAGTAAGGGTCATTTGAAAATCCCTGCACTCTCTAAGTCCACTTTATACCAGGCGCAATAAGCGTTACCTATTCTCCTTTCAGCTTTGACACTGTGAATATCCAGAGTATATATAAGACTTCTTTAGCTGATATTATATATGATAAAGGATCATATATATTGATCCAAAATCAAGATATATCTATAAATCACCACAAGTCTGTTGGCCTAAAAAATGGAACATTCAAAAAGTCCAAAATATTTGTAAAAGAATATTTAAAATTCCACAGAAGTAAAAGTCAAGGGGCATTAAGCCCCAGCAAAACAAAGGGTACATTTCCACTAAAACCTCCCAATATCGGAATCAATACAACAAGCCAAACTGACTGCTTTATTTATATTGGTTTTTCTTTTTGTCCCCACATTCCTTTTCTACTTTATTTTAGACGTCTTCAGCTATTTTCTATGGATTAGTTCTTAGATGCATAGAGCCATTTATTGAGCCCTAGGCTAAAATCTCAAAAAGTGGGCTTTGTTCGTGTACAGAACTATTGACAATATGTATATATGAGCCTTTTATTGCTATTTGCTATGCATTTTGATTTTTATAGCTTTTGTGAAAAACAAAAATCCCTCACCCCACTCACTGATGAAGTCACATATTAATGAAATGCGTTGGGAAAGAAAAGGACCACCAGCAGTGATTACTGAATTGGTGATGCTTTAAAGCTCATTATTTTAATGATGCATATGCACTTTATTTATATGTGCTTTTAAGAGTATGTGTGCACTGTTTTGATTTTTTTGTGCAAATAAATTAGTATTTTAATAATAACACCCTATGTGTACTTTTCTCTGTTTTACTGTGGTTGCTCAGTGCTGAGGCTCAGAATAAAACCAGTCCACGGAGATCTGCAGGCCATTTGACACAACCATGTCTCAGAAGAATCTGAGAGGCATATTTGTTAAAGTGGACAATGAAACTCGCAAATCTTTTAAAATTATTTTTGGTGAACCCAAGAGAGGTACCTTAATATATCGGGGCTGTGGAGCTGTATCTCCATTACCTGGGGTGATCATGTACGCCAAGATGGGAATATCTTTTCAGATAAAAGCAGGATTGCTCAGCCCATATCTTGTGGACAACTTGGTACCCACCAGACCCGTTGATGTTGTCCACGACACCAACAAATATATATATTTCTTCTCATTCGGTTGAGTTAAATCTGAAGCTTCGGACAAAAGATCAACTAGTGAATGTCCTGTTAATCACATCAAAGCTTTTGAGATTAATTAAAAATTCCAATCTCAAGACTGCAATTGAATTTCTAAGCATGTTGGACTTGCAATCTATATTATACATTCCTCAATATGTGTCTGAAATATCTCAGTTCCAGACTGAGTTCCAAGAAAGTTTCCAACATTTCTGCTCTCAAGATAGGAATGTGGTAACTAAATCCTTCAATGTGAAAGTGACGGAGAGTCCAGGGGACCACCAAATGGAAATCATTGGCCTTCAATGTAACTCAGATCTAAAAATCTAATTTAACTCTAAACCCTAATCCTATGTCACAATATATCTGACAAAATATTTTACCTCTTGCGGACCAATGTCGGAGACTAGCTTGGAGGATTTCCCTGTGCTCTCCAGGGAAAATCTGACATTGTGCAACAAGAGGTAAAATATTTTGTTGGATATATGCCGTCATTGGACCACTGACACATTGGAGTGTATTTCCTAGAATTTAACCAGAAGTATGTAAAAAAAGAAAAGGAAAAATGTGTCAGTTTAATAATGCATACAACAAGAATCTTCTCCCTCTTCAGAAGAACCTACTTATGTTGATAGATGTTTTCCGGAATGAAGCACTGCAAGTCGTAATGAGGACAGAAATGACTGATTATCATCTAGAGCCCTGGTTTCTAACCCAGGCCTCAAGTACCCCCTACCAGTCCAGGATTTAGTGATTACCAGGTTGTGTCTGAGGTATTTTTTTTTTCTTTTCTAAAAACACAATAGACACAACTAGGTAATCCCTAAATCCTGGACTGGTAGGGGGTACTTGAGGACTCTGTCGGGAACCACTGATCTTGAGCTCTATCTCCAATTAACCACCACAGAAATATTTCCTAAAATTGAAAAGTTAGTAAAATAAATAAATAAGCTGGGTCAGTGTTCTCAATAACTGAAATGAATTAAGATTGTATTGTATTGTATATACTGTAGGACAGGGGAAGGCAACCTTTGGCACCCCAGATGTTTTGGACTACATCTCCTATAATGCTCTTACAGCCATAATGCTGGCAAAGCATCAAGGGAGATGTAGTCCACAACACCTTGGGAGCCAAAGGTTGCCTATGCCTGGACTAGGGTGTAGGTTAATCTATCCCTGTTCTGTATGGCTCATGAGTTAATGTACGATATTTACACATTGTACTTATCACATTTCTATATGTTCTCTTTGTTTCGGTGCTCCCTGCAGGGTCCTAGTGCTCCAAACAAAGCACAAGTGTGTCTAATGATGTGCTCATGCTATGATTATTGGGGACAGTTCCCTGGTGTCCCCAAAAGATAGGACGGAGGGACAAGACACAAATTTCCAGACTGTCCCAGCAAAATCAGGATAATTGGGAGGCATCGGTCTGGAGTTTCCCTTTGAATTTGAAATTCCCAAAGAGACATGGAAACAAAATAGGGACTGTCCATCCTAAATAGGGACACTTGGGAGGTATGTAAAGAAGACATGATAAAGCATCCATTATCAAAATATTGTAGTAGGCTTAATGGAATTGGTGAAGGTAAAACAATGAGTAAGGTTAATGTATCAGTGTGGCAAAATCCCTATGACTATGATAAAACATAAACATAAGGAACAAAAATACATTTTAAACAGCTTGAATATAATTCTTTGTAGTGTGTGCAGTCACAAACAAAAAGTGTAATGACACAGGCCTTTCACATGCTAAAACCATTTATTGTCTAATTCCGCTAAAATATTTGTACAGTTGAAAAGTCATAATTAAGAGAAAATGCTGTTTTTCACGAAAGCAAGAATATCTTGAACCCAGTTAATACACTGATTAGCCACAACATTAAAACCACCTGCCAAATATCATGCAGGCCACCCCTCTTGCTGCCAATACAACTCTGATGTATTGAGGCATGGACTCCACAAGACCTCTGAATGTGTCATGTGGTATCTGGCACCAAGACATTGGCAGTAGATCTTTTAAGTCCTGCAAGTTGTGAGGTGGGGACTCCATGGATCGGATGTGTTGTTCTTTCATCACATCCTACAGATGCTCAATTGGATTGCAATCTAGGGAATTTTGAAGCCAAGGCAACACCTTGAACTCTGTCATGTTCCTCAAACCATTCCTGAAATTTTTTAGCAGCGTGGCAGGGTGCATTATCCTCCTGAAAGAGGGGTGTACTTCAAGCCATAATTTCAAGCCCTCTGGATAGGAGAGCTGGTACTGTTACTCTAATACTCAGTGAAGCATGATCTATGAGGAGCATTGGATTGAACTGTGATTCTAGAGGCACGCCTCGAGGATGACATCATGGCAGGTTGAGCGGGTGGCAGCACAATAGGAAAATCGGCACTGGAGTATAGGTGAGAAAACATGTTTTTTTATTTTTTTTTTATTTTTTTTTTTTTTACAGTGCTTACTTGGACGTGGGGCTGAAACTGAGCAGGGACATTAAAACTACAGTGCTAGGAAATTGTATTCCTAATGCCATAGTGTCCCTTTAACCTAATGCAGACTGCTATATCTTCTGTCAGTGAAATTAGATATCAGAAAAATAAAAGCAGGTTAAAAAAAAGATTTGCAATGGAGCAAGGTTTATGAATGTTTTATTTGTGCCACAATCATTTTTCTTCTGACATACATGAAACCTTATTTTCACTTTTTTTTTTAGCTTGCCTTTATTTTCCAGAGTTTCTGTTAGGTGTTTGTAAGGATTAATATAAGATTAACTAACATTCCATCACTGAAAGAGTTAATGTGAAATTGACTAACCTTCCGCCACTAAAAGGATTGATGTCGAAATCTGCCTATTAGTTCTCAGTAATATCCCCGGTGTTCTTTTCTTCTCATTATTGTTTAATGTACCAAGCTTTGTTTCTTAGAATTGTACATCTGTTCTTAGCATATACGCACGTAAGCTCTATCCTTTTTAGCATTAATTGACGTAATCAGAGCATGACACATATTTCTGCGCCATATTCACACTTTCTGTTGGTTCATACACCAAGACCGCTCTCTTTTATGACACATGATTAATGTATTCATGTATTCATTTATTGGTAAGCATTATTGCTTTTATTGGTGTGCCTCTTGGCATCCCCCTAAACACACCATCTCTGTATGAGACCTTTATTCAATTATTAAACTGGTGGAATATCTTTGAATGCTGTGTGTGCGTCTGTTGATTGACCATTCCCCAAGCACTTGATGGTGGTTCTCCTGTCCGAGCAGAAAAATAAGTCCATGGGATAGCTGAGGATTTAGAGTGGTCGATCTCTACTTTCTGGGAAGATTTCCAACTACACTAACAGTGTTTTATAGAATTCAAAAGATTTTTATGAACTTAAATTTGGTTAGGTAAAAAAGAACTGAAATGAATTAGACTTCTAAGTAACAAGACTCAGGACTCATTACACATCATTATATTTTGTACACGTTTGAATCAATGAGACAAGTTACTTTGAAGTATAGTTAAAAGACTATTATTAAATATTATTTAGTAATTGTTAAATATTATTTTTATTGTCCTCTGTAGATGATTACAAATGAACTGCAATTCTTCAGAATTTTAGGAAATCAGCAAATTGTCCAAACTATGTAACTCCAAAGAGCAATATGGAAGTATAATGACCCAAACAAGGAGACGGACACTAAATGTTGATTTTATTTACAGAGAAGTGACCAAAAGCGTAAAAAAAGGAGGATCTTAGAAAAAATTTAGATTTGTGTATTTATATATTTAGTAAAAATATAAATATATATATTTATTTTTATTGCTACTCCATCTTTTCTTCTACTTCATTCTTCACTTGGTCTGTGAACTTAATGACTGGAAATGTGCCGATCACTGTACTTACAAATATATACATCATATTTATATATTTTTAAGTCGACTGGTTGGCCCACTTTTGTGCCATTTAAATGATTGCATGGTTGAAATTTATCCAAACCGAAACGCCACATGGATGAATTTCAGTCAACCCAAAGTCTAGTCCTTTGTGCAACTTTTTTGAAATTGAATGAAGCCCCCCTTCTCATTACAAATAACAAATACTCTTACCTTTATTTCAGCCCTGAGTGTCCCCTCCATACTGTTTTGTCCACCCACAGTGCAGGGACTTTGGGATGGGGGCTGACATGCTGTTGAACCCTGATTGGGCCTTTAAAAAGATCTGTGTCTTCAAAATGCTCTTTATAATTATTAGCTTTGAGTCCCAAATTCTGAGGCAGGCCAGGGACTCTGAGCTAATAATCGTAAAGTACATTTTGAAGAAGCGAGGCTTTTTAGAGGCCCAATCAGGGTTCAACTCCTGGTCTGCCCCGCAACACCTGGTCATCCCCCTCCCAAAGTACAGCCCTTACTCTCTGCTCTTGCAAGCTCCAGGAAGTTCAGAGCTTTGTCTTGAGTCCAGGGCTTATGAGAGTCATTACACAAGATCTGCAAATGCAGTGGGTGAGAGCTCTCTAAATTGGACCACCATGGAACAGAGGGATGTCCCCTCTCCCTGCCCCAAGGTAACCAGAGGGATGGAGGATATAACCCCCATCCAATAATACATCCTCTACACATGCAAACTGTATCCCTAACACACACACTGTATCCCTAACACACACGCAACTGCATCCCTAACAAAAACACACTACATCCCTAACACACACACTGCATCACTTGTGCACACAGACTATATCACCTGTGCACACACACTGCATGCCCCACATTGTCAGTCTATATCTGTGTCTGATTATGCCTGTTTCTGTCTGTCTGTTTGTGCATGTCTCTGTCTTTATATATCTCCCAGGTCTAAAACAAAAGTTTTATAGTTGTGGGTATGTCTAACCTTTTTGAACAAATCATATTGTATCACTTTTCTGAATGCTAATGTCTGCTCTTCTTTGAGATGGTAAAAGGTACATTATTTGAGTTTGAAGGTTTTTTTTGCTGGAAATCTTTTTGACACAATTCAGCACTTTACTGCATTTTGTTGTTATTGTTTTAAAATAAATGTGCTTGAGGTCAGTTTTCCATTTTATCTGAGGTGTCATTTGTAAGTCATGCGGTTTAAATGTTGTTAATCACAAACTACTCAATTACAGAGAAACCTGTAAAAAGAGGCAATCTTGCTTTCTATCTATGTCTAAATTCCACCCCCTATAACATCTACGAAAGCCCCAAAAAATAAGGTTTTCGGGTAAATGTTATACTACATCTCTTCATGGACTGGAGACAGACACACAAAACGGCTTAAAACATAAAGGAGATTTTGTGTACCCTACTCATTTGGATAGCAGATCTGTATAGAGCTGCTCACTGGTGACTCTAGGAACAATGCATGGGGGGGACACGGAAATCAAAGTGAGAACTTGGGGGTTTAGGGCACTAATAAGTTCCACCACTGTATCATAATAATGGTCGCAGTAGTTTGTGCAGTGGTATAGGAGCTGCAATGGTTGAAGGGAGTAAAACGGCTTTAGTGTAGGGATAGGCAACTATCGACACTGCAAAAGTTGTGGACTACATCACCTATAATGTTCTTAAACTCATAATGCTAGCAAAGCATCATGGGAGGTGTAGTTCAAAACATCTGGGGTGCCAATGGTTGCCTATGCCTGCTTTAGTGGGTGGAGGGGGTAACAGAGGCTATAGTGGATTCAGAGTGTGTTAGGGGTTTAGTGGGTGCAAGGGTAGGATAGAGGTTGTAGTGGGTACAGGGGGTTGTAGTGTGGACAGAGGGCTTAGGGGCTGTAGTGGGTACAGGGGAGATAGGAGCTAGAGGGAGTAATGGAAGCTGCAGTTAGTGCAGGAGGCTGATGGGTGCTGTACGGGTAATAAAGGCTGTGGTGAGTCTTGGGGATAATAGGGATTGTAGTGGGTGCAGATCTTGTGTCTGTTCACTCTCTATCCTCTCCAGCAACATGCCATCACAGCTGACACACATGGTGGGAGCCTTCTGGATGTATGGACAGAGAGGAAGGGATACAATGTCACTGCCCTCTCTCTCCCCTCCAGGAGACTGATAAAGAGACCGGGCAGAGAGAACACAAGCTTCCAGGTCTCAAGCTACATGAAGAAAGGCTGTCTGGCTTAAAGTCATAGAAGTTCGGTGTGGGGAGTAAGGGCACACGAGGGGGGCAAGGCATGATGGGGGGAAGGGGCAATTGATCCCCTGTAGCGATGCCTTTGCAGCTTCTATTTCCAAATAGGAAGGACATTCAATGCTGGTCCAGGGTCTATAGAAACCAGATTATCAGGAAATAGCTAAACACGATTGGTCCTTAAAGGGTCACTCTAAGCACCAACATCTTTCCATCTCAATGATTATACTTGTTTGCAAACATTCATCTCGTTGCTGGCAGTTTGACAATCAATACAGGTTATTCATCAATAAAACTTTCAAATTGAATTAAATTCAATGATTCTCCATAAGAAAAATGTGATTGGCGGCATGTGACAATTGTCAGTCATATGCCCCATGTCTCCATATGCATCTTTATGAGAGGCACTGGATTGAGAAAAAGTCATCATTACTGATGACTTCACAGTATTCCGAGCAGTTGTTCTGAGGAGACTGATCTGTTGATGGAATAGAAAAATTGTATAGCATTTTTTTTACTTTAGAAATAATACAAAACAGAAAACAATACAAAATGGGAGGCAGTATTATAAGCACTAAAAGAGAAGATAACATTACGGACCATGTCAATAAATAGTAGAAACTGAACGTCCAAAGCTATGGGTATCTACACAAGGGGATAGCTGCTGGTGTCTCAGGAGGGGAGGGCTCACCCCTGGGCTAGTTAATGGAAGAGAGAACCCTCAAAATAACAACACACAGCCATTAATGTCTAAACCATTGGCAACAAAAGTAAGTACATCCCTAAGTGGAAATGTCCAAATTGAGCACAATTAGCCATTTTTCCTCCCTGGTGTCATGTGATTCGTTAGTGTTACAAGGTCTCAGGTGTGAATGGAGAGCAGGTGTATTTAATTTGGTGTTATCGCTCTCACACTGTCTCATACTGGTCACTGGAAGTTCAACATGGCACCTCATGGCAAAGAAAAAATAATTGTTGCTCTACATAAAAATGGCCTAGGCTATAAGAAGATCACCAAGACCCTGAAACTGAGCTCCAGCACGGTGGGCAAGACCATACAGCGGTTTCACAGGACAGGTTCCACTCAGAACTGGCCTCGCCATGGTCGACCAAAGAAGTTGAGTGCACGTGCTCAGCGTCATATCCAAAGGTTGTTTTTGGGAAATAGATCTATGAGTGCTGCCAGCATTGCTGCAAAGGTTGAAGGGATGGGGCATCAGCCTGTCAGTGCTCAGTGTCACGACTGCTAGTGTGTTCCAACACGCAGAAACTATGTAAATCTGTACATAGAAATAAGAAAGGAAATAAAAGGACAGAACGTAAACCGGACCTTAGAATGGCCGGACTAATCCGTTAGAGACAGAGAATGGTCAAAGGGAAAGCCGAGGTCAAGGAAGCCAGAAATACACAATACCGTTTAAACAAGCCAAGTCAGGGGAACCAGAAATCGGAATAACCAGGAATAGCCAAGATCAGAATACCAGAATATCAATATCACATTGAAAAACGTACTCTCAGGAAACCACGACAGGGCAAGGTACTGGGGTGAATTAGGGATTTAAATATTCCTCTCTAGGCTCTGATTGGTCAGAGGGTGATCTATGACCCCAGAACATGCGCGTGTGTTGACGTCGTGATCATTAATGGTTGTGTGTTGAGTTATTTTGAGGAAAATTTACACTGTTATACAGGCTGTACACTTACTACTTTACATTGTAGCAGAGTGTCATTTCTTCAGTGTTGTCACATGAAAAGATGTTATAAAATATTTACAAAAATGTGAGGGGTGTACTCACTTTTGTGAGATACTGTATATGTTTTTATATTTTCAACTCACTTGTCAAAATCCAAATCAATAAATCAAGGCACAACATTAATCTACTCAATCTCACACTACGATAAATAACACAGACTATCCCTCAATCTAAAACATGCAGAGCCAGGTAAAACTAAGCAAGTACTGTCTGCTGGTTCATCAAGGTATCTAAAAGAATCTTACTTGGAAATAAACTTTTTGTTTTCACTTCTTGATTGGAAAGAAGAGACATGTCATATCATTTTTCAGACATCTTGTCCATCATGACAAATTAAACTACTCGTCCCTCCATCCCCTAAAAAAATTACCTTTATCTCCATTCTGTCCCCCTTTCTTGGGCGACATGGGCAGAACTCTGAATCACGAATTAAACAAACATGCTCATCCATTGCGTGGGTAATTTACTCTGTTATATGTTATATGATTCAGAGTTACGGAATTCGGAAGACCTACTACCAAAATTTTGACATATTGAAATTTGAAATTGAATGCACAAGTCTAAAAGTAAAAATAAAATGTTCTTTACACTAAGTTTAGTCAGTGTAACCACGTTTCCACAGCAGTTTGGTGGTTAAGTAAGTCTTAAGTCCCTTTACAAGTAGGAAGGGAAGTATGGGATTATTTGAAGGTGGGTAACTGAGTGACACATTGTGGGTGAATATGCTGCGGAAATTAAACAGTGTGTAGACTTCAGTCATTCCTTTGTTTGCTGCAAACAAACTGCTTTCGGTCTACTCAGGGTAAGTCTTCTGTTGAGAGAACATCTATGACCAGATTAAGAATACTGTGACAATAAATGCTAAGTTGTATTACTGTACTATAGAGAAAAGACTTGTAGACTTAACCTTTATATAAGTTTGTCATCAAGTGTTTTAAATCAGTGGAGATATAAATGGGTTTATGGTGCAAAGTGCATAGGCGTGCGGAGCCTATTGCATTAGGGTGTGCACCCTAAAGCACAAACACACGCCGCATGTGTATATATGTACACATACACATATATATATATATACACACACACACATACAATGCTTTCCTATGGAGAGATCTAAGGTGCATGCGCGGCATTGGCGCGCATGCGCATTAGGTCACCCCAGCCGGCGGGTGGGTTCAGTCTCCCCCGCCGTCTGACGTAATGAAGGGGAGGAGTGGCGGCAGAGGAAGAAGCAGCGACGTGGGACATGACTCTGCCTCTGGTAAGTCACTGAAGGGGGATTTCACCCCTTCAGCAACCGGGGATGGGAGGTGGGGGGGAGAGGGGACCTGCAGTGCAAGGAAAACAGATTGTTTTCCTGGCACTGGAGATTCCCTTTAACAACAAAATATATAAAATTCATATTTTGGACAACAGATTATTTCATAGTTATTAACCAAAACTAAATTTTACAATGTTTTTTGTAATGTATTATTTGTTTATTTTTCAAATTCAAGCACGCAATAAGGGAAGAAAAATAATGTAAGAAAATTATTTATAAAATTATCCCCAGGGTATAATGATAAGGGCAAATATTTTTCATAATAAATTGGATTTTTTAAATTTTATTTTTGTTTTCAGTAGTACAATTCAAATGTCTTCCCCCAAACCTTTTGATTTAAAAGAATCTAAGCTCCACAGACAATATAGCTGATTCTTGTTTTTATGATGTAGGTTTTATGTTTTTTTTCTAAACCATTTTTGAACAGTTTGACAAAAACAGGTAATTCCCATTCTAACTTCTATGCAGCTGAAGGGATAAAGCAGATAATGTCCTCAAAGAAAATCTGTATAAAACTGTCCATATTTGGGTGGTCTGTGTACAGTTGACATAGTTAATTTCAAGTCTTGATAGTTGTTTAACAATCTGGAGACCTTGCACTTATAGAACCCTCAAGTCATAACCGCTATAAAAAAACTGTAGTAGTTATAGTGCCCCGCTA